TACTGTACATAAAGTATATTTATATAGAAATACAGATTGAACATCCACGACTGGAGTACAAATGCTCGTATTCATCACACAAACATCTGCCCCCACCGGGATTCGAACCCGGGACCTCTCGAGTCAGCTGCACCATGAAACTCGGCGTACAAACCACTCGACCATGGAGATCGTCAAAGATGATAATGACGACATTATCATACATATAAAATAATACACAGAACAGTTTAACATAATGCACTCGGCGCACCCGCCCTCTGGCAATTACACCAGTAAAGTGTATTATAATATATTTAAATATATTGTACATAGCCTACCACAGATTAGCGCTAAGCTGGAACTGTTATTATTCAAAATATTAAATGCCTTAATACCAATACACAAAAAACGACCTTGTGTGTGACTGATTCGGCAAATTTAAGGTCAGCACTTCAGGAGTGCCGGCACAATGAAAGAGTGAAAACTCAAATCTCAAACCTAACAAGATGAAAAAAATTAAAAATCGCATCTCAAAAAATGCCCAAGGCGTTTAAAGAAGTTTTCACTTCAAAAAAAGAAACAAAAAATCTTAAAACAAAATGTAAACAACAATTTTAAAAACACGCCTGTCGAGTTCGAACTCAAGTCAAAATATAATGTTTTAAACTGTCATGGTCACTAACATTATAGTAATATAAGTTATTTACGGGATTGTTACCATGTACCTTATTTTTAGCGAGTTTCCGATATTTCGGCACTGTTGCAAGCGCCAATAACAGCCTACCCGCAATTACTTCAGTTACTCCGTGATCATAGCGCTTGCAACAGTGCCGAAATATCGGAAACTCGCTAAAAACAAGGTACATGGTAACAATCCCGTAAATAACTTATATTACTATCAAGTAAAAATATCTTGCTAAATACACTTTGAAACATCAGCGTTGCATTATAAATGTTACATTTCACCGCACGTCTCTAACATTGCACAGATCTCTTGCATTCGAAGGAACCTTTGTTGCATAAGGGTCAATTCACACCGGAATGGCAGCGGCCGGCGGTGCGGTGACGCGGAGAGGTCCACACTGAAAGCGGTGTGAAATAATTTTATACTTTATCAACATGCTTATAAAGACCAGGATCGCTTGAAAAAGTTCAGCGGCATCGCGAGCGAGTGACCTCGCGGGAGATCTTTCAATTATGTAGATAAAGTTTTAAATGATTTCACACCGCTGCCAGTGAGAAAGTGCTCGCCGCGTCACTACCAGCCGCTGCCATTCGAGTGTGAATTGACCCTTAGACCAAGCCACTACTAACGTTGGGCAAAAAAAAATAGGTACACACATACTTATATAATACAGAGGTGACGGTAACATAAGTGTCGCTTGTTCAATGGTTTTTCTTCATCACAAAAAAATCCTAACGTGCCTCAAGAAATTTTCACTCCAATACTGTAGTACAGATTACCAATCCCTTGGCTGCAACTTGTGTGACAGACGACAGACAGATGAACACGCGGGTTATAGCAACAGGCAGGGCTCCGTTTTAACGAACCTTAAAGTACATTATAGAGTTACAGACCCTTTTTTCCAATAGTCGAAATCACAATACCATGTTATTATTTCAGCTTCCCTTTACCGTGTAATTTATTGAAAGTAGCTGAATTTGAAAGAGTGAATAAAGCTTTAACATTAACACAAACTAGGTACTACATATCTTTTCGATGACGAAAGAAAACATGCAGGTTTACACGACGACATCACGCACTGCAACCCCGCGAAGAAATCCTAGGCCTCTCCTGGAGCTGTGTCAACAATCTACGAACTGAATCGCATCTGAATCCTGAAATCTTTACAGTCCCACCCTATCTACCGTTAAAATAACTCCCTGATGAATCTCTGCAATAGGACACGATCGCGAGACTTGGCTCTTGCTGATATTTCTTAGCAGAAAAAAAAATAAATGCTAAGCGGAACAGATATCACGCCGATCTCTCGTCGAGGTTAAACAGGTATCGTAGAGGTTTCTGCTCACTTGGCAAGTATTACATTTAACAAAAAGAAAAAAAAATGTTAACAAACTCCAACAAACCTAATTATTCGGTTATTAAAATATGAAAAAACGCGAGCAGTGAAAGTAAAATTGGCTTAACATTGAATAGGCACGATACTTTCACGATAACAGCAATTGACCAATAAACAGTTTATTGCTGATAAGATATGAAACGTCTAACAATGATTTTTTTTTTTATTCAAATCGTAACTTAGAAAAGGGTGAATTGTTTGTCTACTAGGTAGGTGAACGTGCGTCGAACGGAGCTAGGACGTCAGCGACAGAAGGACGGCGAGGACGTCAGCGGGAGGCGGGGCCGACGGTGAATCCATAATTGCTTAGCAATAATAGCGCAATAGACAATAGGGTCTGCGGGGAGCGGCCGCGGCAGGCGGCAGGCGCGGCGCGACCCACTTGCAGCGTTCGATGGAGCCGCTCCGCTACCATTGACCCAGATCCGCCCGCGCCCGCGCCGCGCACCGCCGCCGCCCCTATGCACAAAAAGTGCCGCGCGCCGGCCCCGTCCGCGTCCTGACCTACAACCGCCTACCTGACCTACTAATCCAACTTGCTGTCGAAACTATGCGAGTCTCCAGCCTTCATGACCGATGCATCGAACCTCCCCTCCCCTATCTTATATAAAACAACTATCCTAATTGATTTGTCAAGGCAAGACCATCGCTAAGATCGGCAAACACGTCGACATACCTGGTCTCTTTATTGATGTAAAACATTAGGACCTCTGAATTATGAAAATATTGAACGTTAGCAGTGGACAGGTTGAGTTAGAGTGTCTAGGTTTTACTCGACTACTCTTAATAATAATACTTAAAACCGTTAATCATTTATTGTAATATTTTATGGCTGCACTTCACATGGCTAATGGTATTTGGTAACTTTTCATTCTTTAAAGAGTGTGATAAGGACACCTTGTTCTCAAAATGACAAATAGCAAATATGAATAAGCCATGAGAAAAAGCTTTAGGGTTATATTTTTGTTTGCAAAGTAGATATACTATTTATACTGTTAGTTTGTTATGTAAGTAATTATTTGTTATTATTATGAGTTTCTTAGGGAAACAAGTTATATAAGGAATTATATCAAAATAGTAAGAAAATTCATATCCTAAAATATAAAATATTTATAATAAATATCCACTATTTATGATTTTATGTTGGATTTAAATCAGTTTTTTTTTATATTTATCATGTTTACCAATCAATTTGTCGTAATTGTTGAAGTTAAAATAGTATTCTAATAAGGTCCTATTTCAAAATAGTATTTTAAAAAAATCTATTTTTTTTCATAATGTAATTATATCAGGCATTTTCACTATCACAGGGTATTGAAAAGTGCAATAGTTACAAGTTCAATGACCACAATTATATTGCAAAACAAAAATAATGCATGTTTAAAATTAAAATGCTGCTATTTTATTTATTCTCTAGCTACTCTAGCAGACCATCATATCAATATGAGTAAAAATAAATTTTAATGAGCAACTGTAAAATAAATAATTGATTATCAAGAATACATATGAAACCCTAGTAAAAATATTGTAATTAAATAAAGTAAGCAGGATATAGTGTTCTCACATAAACCTCAATATACTATACCACATCCATAGTCACACACCTGCCGTCCTATTGGCTAACATTTTTTACATTTACAGTATGTAACTCAAGAGAAAATTGCATATCCATTGATGCTTTTTAGAACAAGTTAACAGGTGGTGTTATAATAAAGCAGTTGTGGGTTGCGAAATAGGTCGGTGGTTATCACTTCCATCTGTCAAAAGCAGTTAACAATAGGCCTACTGGGCCAGTTCATTCTTTACTTTGAATGCACTAAAATAAGATACTTTTTTTTGATATTTGACACAAGTGCATGGAACTGCATAGTAATTTCATTTTATAAATGATTGATATAGAGACCTTGATATTATTTACTGTCTGCTCAAATTGTATGAAACAGTGATTGCATACATATAGCGTATCTTGGATACAGTAATTAAGGAAACAGTTTTTTATATGAAAATTTACAGAAATAAATTATAAACTTTTCAAAAATCTAATTGAAACAAAGATTACATTACTGTTTGATAAGGACAACAACTAAGTGTACTAAAACTGATTTATATTCTATTAATGTTCATAGGAATATGATTGAATTAAAAATTATAATGTTGAAAGCCTAAAATAGACACTCTCAGTATTATGATACTGAACAATAACTAAAGTCAATAAATACAAACTGAATAAAGTTAGCACTAGCAAAATCAATAGAATATTAATTACTATTATGAGATTTATTATTATATTATTAGTTACTTTTTAGATATTACCATGTAGATAAAATATATTAATCATTTCATTTTCTGGTGTAATAAAAATATGTTTTTGGAAAAATAACAGTGTTTAGTGTATACAACTTGTTTTTGAATACCTATGTTATATTGGGTACCTAATATTAATTGTTTATATTAGTTGTTAGAAAATACATAAGCACTGATCTAGCTCTTTGTTTCATTTGGAGTGAAGTTGGGCGACTTTCAAGTTTTTTTTGTGACAACAGAGAAAACAAAAAGCAAGGACAAGAGATGCCACCAATCACGGGTGCCGCCGCCGCCTCACGCAGCGCAGCCCACTAATGAGAACCACTTCCTGCCTACGCGTTAGGTTAGGATGCACTTTATCCTCGCTAGCACTTTACTTATTCAGGGATTCCCACCTACGGTAACTTAAACGAACCGATTGAATGCTCATGCTCCATGATCCACAAGATTGATATTGAAGTTAAATGCTTGAATATAATGGCTCACAAAGGTGACGCATCGACACGATCCGATCGAATGATCTTAGTGAATTCTTACGAGCTTTGTTCAAGATATCCCTTCGTTTTAACACTCACTTTACGTCTTCTTCGCTTATATCACAAATAACACTGAAATAAATTAAATTCACAAACTTACGAAGCGATGAAAGTCAATTTGAAGAAGGCACACGCACCGCAACGCGACAAGCCAGAATCTTCACTTGACACACCAACGCACACAACTACACTGATTGACTGGGAAATACTGACAACTTCACACATAAGAAATGACAGTTACATGGTTATAACGTTACATCCGGAAGAAGAGTAAACACAATAACTTTTGTCTCTAACATATCATAAACATTATCTTATGTTAAAAATAAGTATTATTTTATTTTATTGAAATAAAAATTATTATTTCTGTAAGTGTATAATACTGAAATGATTAAGAAAATGTGGGTTATTATTATGCATCTATTTCAAACTAGATATAAATGGTCACGATTTTGACTAAACTTGTTTTTATTATATTTTTTTCTTATGAAAGGAAAGTGATACAATATTTATGCAGCCTACATTTATGTTTTCTTTTTTTAGTTTTATTTTTCCCTATTGCGAAAGGCAAAGGCAAAACCCACCCGGCCGAATGTTTTCCCATGTTGTCAGAAATATCAAAGAAATTCTCTAAACGAAATAAAGCTCAGTGAAATGTTCTGGAGCAGGAAGAAGACGTGACAGATAAGGTTGCGTCATGGATTTTCTTTTTGTAGGAAAACATTGGCACCAAGTCCAATACTGCTATTTGTATTTATTGTATACATTTTTCTTTACTTTATGTTTTTTCAACTATAGTACTGAAGTGGTGACACTTACGTATTACTTCAGTGAGTTTTATATAAATTAGATGTTACTTATCTTGAGGACGAAGCATTTCGTTTATTTATGATAGTACTTCGCGTACAGGTAAGTTCGATTAATCATTACTTATGTATTTATGAGTATGAGTGTAATACTCAGTGTTGCCAACTCTACGTCATTTTACGTAGATCTACGTATTTTAGACCTTTTCTGCAAACCTACTAACTTCAGTCCCAGAATCTACGTATTTTCTTTATTTTTTTCAAATTTGTAAAATAACTTAATTCACTAGAATAAAGAAGAATATTTTCCGTTACTTTAGTTAAAAACTATACAAATGTTTATTTCTTATAAAGATGTATCTAAAAACTCTTGTATCTTGTAGAAAAGCTTCCCGTTATTGGTTTTCGAAACTAACTGACTAAATTAATGCTGGACGCAGGGTATGTGAAAGCAGAAACGACAAAACTCTTTGACGTAGGTACATTCATAACCTTAAATTTTTTATTTTCAAATTTTAAATATTATTCAATGGTGTCGATTCTGGCAGGATTCTCTAAACTTAAAACTAAATTTGACATCAGTCTGTCCTTTTCAGTCTGTATAGAGAATGACAGAGATACACTGTTGCCAAATTTAAGTTTAGCTTTAGAGAATCATGCCAGAATCGATACCAATGAGTACTTACATCGAATTGATCTTTGCAAAAAGAAATGACTTTCAGTCGATAAAGTTACAGGATTTAGCAAGTTTTAAACATGCTTTCATGTGTAAGTATGTTTATTTCTCTTGGCAATTTAAACCACTACTTTTGTAGTCTTTTATCAAGTGTATTTTTGTCATTCTCTATACAGAATGAAAAGGAGAGACTGATTTTAAATTTAGAGAGTCATGCCAGAATCGACACCCACCAGTGTCTGTGTCTGATGGTAAATGTCTACCACAGCATGGTAAATGCTTCCAATGCAGCGACTTCTCCAAGAACTCTTTGTTCTATCTCCCGTTTTTAAAGAAATTGTATAACAAAATACTCGTTTTATTCGGTTTCTCCTAACTTCTTCAATTCACTTCAGAAAAAAGTACGTAGATCTACGTACTTTTCATATGCAAAATTTACCAATTCTACGTAATTTTCTCATCGGGCCTACGCCTTTTTCAAAATCCGAGTTGGCAACACTGCTTATACTCCACATAGCTCAGAATTTGTGTTTTGCGAAATCCAAAATGTAAAAACATGAAATTAATAAGATCGCTACTTAAAAGATCGCCGAGTGTGACTAAATACCTATTCTTTAATGTCAATCTTTATAATCAGCAACTTCCTGCAATATTGATTAAAATTTCATAATTTTTAATATCCCGATGTGACATATTTTAAATAGATTTTTTTCGACAAAAGATTGACTTTTCTCATTACTATTGCAATGTGTCCAAAAATCAAGGAGTTTATACCCTCTGAATAAGTATCCTAAGGAAATGATACGTAAAGTAGTACGTAGCTACATTGTCATTTGGTATAGAAATTACAAAATAGTGTTGTCTCCTTTTTACATTCATATTGATGCATATGAAAAAGACACCAGCACTCTATTTCGCAATATTCGCTACAGTAGTGACAATCTATATCATGTCGTCATTAGTCTGTGGTTCCCTAGTTTGTTTAAATTTAAACTCAAAGTTGTCGACGTGATTCTTAATGGAGGAATTTAGAACCGAGAAAATAATTAAATTTAGGATTTGAACATAAATGTGAAGTGCTCTTTAATTGATTGTAGCCTGTGTCAAAACAAAAATAGACCTAACCTAAGTTTTCACCGGTAAGTAACCAATTTAACTAGAAATTACTATTATTACAAGAAGTTGATCATGAAACTAAATTAAAAATACAGCTTAAGAAACCAAAGGCTACAGGAACCAAAGCTTGTTGCCTTTCAACGAATTTTTTATAGTAATCTAGCAGCGCTAGTGTTGTTCCCCCTCATCGATCTTGGTCTTATCGATATTTTATTTCCCTTTTTTTTTTAGTTTGCCTCGAACGGTACTAATAACTCGCAACTGTGTATTAACCCTACGAATTAATTCAATTTATGAAAAACAATAAACTAACTTGTGTAACTAATTAAACTTTAACTTTCCTTAACTAAAATCTAATAGAAAAGCGATTACAAAATCTAATATAAAAGCGATAAGATATTCCGAATATAAATTATGACAAAAACTTGCTTATCTATTTTTTTTCTATTCAGTCCACTAAAGCCAAATTAAGTAACTTAAGCACAAGACCTGTACTAATGGATACACATAATATTCTTGAATTAGTAAGTTAAGTATTCTATTTAAATTTCGGTTGCGTTTATTTAATATTTTTTTAAAAATTATAAAATATAAAACTTAGCATCTAGTGAAGGTACCATAGCATAGACTTCTAGGTCTCAAAAAACCGCTTATTCATTAGATATAGTTTTAATATTTTATAGTTTTTACAAAATTGAGAAATTTACACATGCAATTACCAAAATATAAATAGAATAAATAAGTTTCAAAAATTGTATTGATATTGCAGTGATACTTAGCGGACTGGGCCTTGCTACATTTTCCATACATCCTGAAAAGGATGCGAAGCGTCAAAAATACAGTGAAAAAGTACTAAAAAAACATACGCAAGCACGCACAAGCATGTATTATTATTTTTTCTAGTTATATTTTCTTTAGATTTAAATATCAGGCAGTTACATGCTTAAAAAAAATAATTATAACTATAATTGCAATTTCTTCTTTCAAATCTTTAATACTTGTAAAAGTTTTCATTTGACATTGTGGGTTACCTACAATGCGAAGAGATGGCGCTGCCTTGCAGCTTAAGTATGGCTAGAAGAATTTCGACGAGGCCATCAGGGCCGCGGTAGTATAATTGGTCAGCGCATTCGCCCGGATAGCGAAGGGTGCGAGTTTGAGTCCCTTCTGCTGACTGATCCGCGTGTATTTTTTTCTAATTATATTTTCTTTAGATTTAAACATCAAACAGTTACATGCTTTAAAAAAATATAACTATAATTGCAATTTCTTCTTTCAAATGTTTAATACTTGTAAAAGTATTCATTTGACATTGTGTGTTACCTACAATGCGAAGAGATGACGTTACCTTGCAGCTTAAGAATGGCTAGAAGTATTTCGACGCGGCCATTACATGCTTAAAAACAAAAAAAAATGTATTATATTAACATCAAACTATTTGATTTTTAAAATGTATTAATTTTGAGTAAATGTGTCTTATGCATTCAATAAAACAAAAAACTATCATATCGATATTATTTTTTCAATTTTATTTCCCATCACTTAAAAGTCGTAAATAAATAGTCTCGCTACACTCAATTCAAGTTATATAATTTTTATTTCGAATCTTAATTGCGGGGCCTAAGGTCGAAACTTGATAATTAAAAAATGTAGTCTCGTGGGGAGTGCGTTTGCTAGTCTCGTGGGGAGCATGCAATAGAGACTATATTCGCACTTAAATACTTAAGGTCACTAAAATGGACTCTATTTTTCAATTATAAGGTATAAAATCATATGAATATGTTTCGGCACATATTCGAATTGGATCTCACTCGATTACTTGCAAGTTTCTATTCTCGATTATTGTAAAATTCATTTTTAATTGAAAAAAAGCACTAAAATATAGAAAAAGCACTTTCATCTGAAATGATATCCCGTTTTTTTGTAAATTAGAGGTGTTTGATCTTTTTTTGCACGTTAAAACGGCACAGGTTAGCATTTTTTTGCGAGGAGACACGGGCTGTTGTCACTACGATAACGATTCTCACACTCACTGTGGAAATCTATCGATTGTAAGTAGTTTTTATGAACGCACTGGATCATTTGATCTTATACCTTGACAGAGGGGAAAGATCTTGCGGGGCTAGTCCTGTGGTTTAATGGTCTAAGGTTTATATAGGTAAACAGCGAAGTACATGCTTGTGTCATTTCTATATGATTCAGATAGTGGATATATTAATAATATATATTTTATATAAAGTTTTACAAAAGCTAATAAAAACATAAGAGATCATTTTGTACACAGGAATTCAACAGGTAACAAGGTAAGATTAAAACAAAAAGGAAAGATACTCAACGGATACGGCTTAAAAGTGGAGTAGAACAAGGTTATGTATTTTACTTAACATTGGCTGAACGCACAAACCGTGCTTGCCACAAAAAAAACAAACTTTAAGTACGAAAAGGCGGGAAACGTTCAACTTGGCGGGCGCTATTTTTCGTTTTGGTGTTTAATTTATTATTTACTGTGTAAAAAGTGATCAGAATTGTATATTAGTATAGTAGTCGTATGTAATTTTGTATATATCTATTAGTTTCTGTACATATAGGACATTAGTTAAGTTTCTTTGTTTAAATTTATGAACGATGGGGTGCCGCCGGGGAACGAAGTTCGACCGGCAGGACTTTATGTTACTGTTTCCAATGAGTCTGGGATGGAAACAGATGGCACATTATCTGGGCGTACTTTGAAACGCAGTCGCTTACACGTTTGCAAGCACTGCAACAAAAAGAGAAGGTTCGGAAATGAATAGTTGCTTATGTTATGAACTATCTCCAAAAAAAACCTCCTTGAACCCCTAGATTAAAACGAAAAAGGTAGATACGGCACTAGCCTCACAAAAGTGATCCGCATGAATTGTGGTCCACGACCCTAATCGCTTTAGTCACAACTTGATATGCAAACGAACGTACATGTGAACTACAAAAAGAAATATTGCTAATGTGTTCTTAAAAAGTGCTCAAATTGCTCAAGAACTAAAAATAAAACCCACGTCATCACTTTTCATTCGTAAGTACTATAAAATATATTTTTTCATAAAAAATGCTGTTTGTTTTGAATCTTATTCGGTAGTGACGTCGAGTACTGGTCGAGTAATTGGTCGGTAGTGCAGTGACGCGGATCTCGCCGTCTCGTTCGCGCAGCCGTTGAAACTTAACGTGCTGTTTCGTTCGGGTCGGTAATGCAGTGACGCGGATCTCGCCGTCCCGTTCGCGCTGCCGTGGGATCAGTTTTTGTTTGATGCAAGTATGAGCGTACCGTATCTACCCTTTTTGTTTTGATCTAAGCTTGAACCAAACCAAAACTAAAGAAAAATCACAAGATATTTCTAATTCTCAATCACCTCTACTGTTCGTCAGCTTGCAGTTACTCCTTCTCCCATAGGTCGTACCTTGTATACTTCAAATGATGTTTCTCCTTTTGTTGTAAGTACATGTTCATAAAATACAGAATGAATCGAATGATAACAAATTCAATAATATCATTTAGGTGATTTATGTGATATTTTTCTTGTTCATGTAAAGGATCTCATTTTGCTACTAATAAATCATGTGCCAAGTATATCCTCCGAAAAAGAGAATAAAGTCCACATGGCCCCTCCTTGGTGGGACAGCGATTGTACTCGGGCTGTAAATGAAAGAAAAGTTGCTGAGAGAATGTATAAAACTGGTATGACTACAAGTAATTATAAAAGGGTATAACAAAATGCAAAAAGCTCTTTAAACAACAGAAATTCGATGGCTGGTGTAGATTCTGTAATTCGATTCAAGTCTTGTATCACAAAATATTAAAAGATTTAAATCAGCTCCTTTACCAATTCTTCAATGCAGTAGGCATTGATTAATCTTGTCAAATTGACTGTTAAAAAGATGTATGTAGATGGATTGCTGAATAGGCGTAAACTTTTTCGACCAATGTCTTATAAGTTAATATGCAATTAATAAAATACTCCTTTCTTAAAGAGTATGATTTTAATTAATTTTGAAGAGCTACCTTCGATATTCAGCAAATCGAGGAAGTTTCTAATTCATCGTTCAGATAAACTAACTTTATTAAAATTCTTATAAAATATCATTTATTGTGTTGTGCGTAAAAACGGAAGAAATAAATATAATGTGCAATAAGTTTGTGAGTTAATATACTTATAATCATGGAGAAGGAAAAGAAACAATTTAATCATTTTTAATACTTTTTATTAAAATATATAATCTAGTCGTTTGAGCGATTGTAAATAATAAATTTCATATATTGTTTGTTAAAAAATGTACAGTAAAACACGGGTAAAACATGAATAAATACCAAAATAAAATATTAACAATGTAAAGAACACTCAAATGACTTGACAAATTACCCGATAATAAAAACATCAGTAAGACCTCCTTGTGTCGAAAATTAAAAATAATTAAGTACTTATGCGTTATAATTTGATTAGTCGCGTATCGTCAACTGGTTAGCCGCTGTACAAGACCAAAAAATATATCATATGGCTCCATAAAACTTTTCTTTACATAGTATTAGACTTATTAAGATAATTAAGTACGGTCATGAGGAATGTCAAAGTTTAATATACAAAAAGGTGATCGAACAGACACAGGGCGCGCCGGTCCGAATAGCGTTTGACGTGTCGTTCGGACGGAGCGAGGAGCGCCCCGCGGCATCGGGATCGGGACGGAGCGAGGCGCGCCCCGCGGCATCGGGATCGGGACGGAGCGAGGCGCGCCCCGCGGCATCGGGATCGGGACGGAGCGAAGCGCGCCCCGCGGCATCGGGATCGGGACGGAGCGAGGCGCGCCCCGCGGCATCGGGATCGGGACGGAGCGAGGCGCGCCCCGCGGCATCGGGATCGGGACGGAGCGAGGCGCGCCCCGCGGCATCGGGATCGGGACGGAGCGAGGCGCGCCCCGCGGCATCGGGATCGGGACGGAGCGAGGCGCGCCCCGCGGCATCGGGATCGGGACGGAGCGAGGCGCGCCCCGCGGCATCGGGATCGGGACGGAGCGAGGCGCGCCCCGCGGCATCGGGATCGGGACGGAGCGAGGCGCGCCCCGCGGCATCGGGATCGGGACGGAGCGAGGCGCGCCCCGCGGCATCGGGATCGGGACGGAGCGAGGCGCGCCCCGCGGCATCGGGATCGGGACGGAGCGAGGCGCGCCCCGCGGCATCGGGATCGGGACGGAGCGAGGCGCGCCCCGCGGCATCGGGATCGGGACGGAGCGAGGCGCGCCCCGCGGCATCGGGATCGGGACGGAGCGAGGCGCGCCCCGCGGCATCGGGATCGGGACGGAGCGAGGCGCGCCCCGCGGCATCGGGATCGGGACGGAAGCGATGTGTGCCGACCTGTGTGCGGAGTGTACACACCCCGGGATACATCTTGGGCATAAACCATACACAACGAAGCCTGCACATTAGTCATTTTACATACAAAAATGTTCACTGCGCAAGTTTGTTTGTCTAAGGTTTACTCCAGAAGTTTGCCGTTTCCTAAGCACCCGTCAGCGTAGCCACTGGTGTAAGCTTATTTCTCGTTTATTAATAAAGGAGCTAGTGTCCAGCAGTACTGTAAGAACAAACTCTTTTTTCACATCGATATCCGCGGTGTGATGAGAAAATTAGAACTGGAAAATTTAAAAATTCTTCCAAAATAGCACTGCAGGCTGGCAAATGGAAACATTAGCCGTCATGCCATAATAAAAGAAGAAGAAGAAGGAGGAGGAGGAGGAGAAGAAGAAGAAGAAGAAGTACTGCAGGCTACCGGGCGGAGCGGGGACGGAGGGCGGAGTGCTCCCGGTCGGTGGACGAAATCGCTCGATAGTTTCAAACTTAACAATAATATTATCTCGATTTATGTACACGCTAAGAATGTTTACAACGTTAAATATACATTTATACAAAAATACTTCAGTAAAAAAACTTATGACTATATCAGGTGAGTAGGGCGGTCGGGTCCGCGAGTCGCGGCCGCGTCGCCCTCGGAGTGTACTCGCCTCACATGCCCGACTCGGCGATGCCTTCGTCATCTGAAACACGCGAGTCGACGGTCAGCGAATATAGCGAGCGCACACCCAGGGCCGGATTTAGAGGTCCAGAGGCCCCGGGGAACAGAGGAGCGGAGGCCCCCTCACCCCAAATTATTTTCCAAATAAAGTAAACAATTTTTTTTCAGTCGAGTTTTTCAATAAATAATTTATTGTGAACCGAGTAGATTCCCTTAGTATTGAACAAACACACAGGTATATTTAAATTTATTTTAATAATGATTGTTTTTGTGTAATTTTTGCTTATTATTATTATTTTTCTCTGGAGGTGGGCGTTAGCGGCTGCAACACAGTTTTATACTTCAGCAGCTTCTAATGTACACATGTTTTATGTAATGTGTCTTTTCGTTAATAAAGATTTATTATTATTATTATTACATATAAATATAAACTGAAACAAGAATTATCTGAAATTAAATCTTAGAGTTAACGAACGGAACCGAAAAGATGTTTACTAGTTGGAATTTGAAAAATTTTATTTCCGAAGTCTCTATTGTGGGGGGCCCCCCGTTTGTGGAGGCCCCGGGGGTTTCGCCCCGGTTGCCCTCCCCTAAATCCGGCAGTGCGCACACCACAATGTGTGCCCGGGGCTGTGCGATGCATGTCACGCTTGGTCAACAACAATTATGTTTTTAATAAGCACAACCACATACAGCGAAATCGTGTTAATCTCAAACTCTCGTTTCTACGTAGAAAAACGTTCGTTAGTAAGAGTGTGAAACATTGACGATTAGTTCGGGCGGGGTTAGGGCGCAGACACGCTCACTTGAAGGGCGCGGGCCGGGCGCGGGCCGAGCGCGGGCCGGGCGCGGGCCGGGGCCGGGGGACAGCTCCACGGTTAACTTCATTGACGCATTATCACCACCTCCACCACCACTATCATATCCCTTGAACAGTATTAACACCGTGTTAGATAGGGGCGAAGATGGCATCGCGGTACGAGTGCCGGACGATTACAATATAATGCGATTCAACTAAGAATAGGATGGACTGGGCGCCATTTTGTGATGTCAAAGCTGTCAATTGAAACAAAATAGGTAGAGTGAGCAATAAAAGTTTTTTTTCGATAAAACTTATTTACTAAGATTGAGTGAGAAAAAACTACAGATTTTATTAATAAAATTTATCTACTAAGACTGAGAAAAAAAAACCACCGATTTTTAATAACTTTTATGACTGTGTGAGTAAAAATATTAATCGGAATCTAGCTCTTCAATTCTGCTCGGCTCTGCGTAACAAAAAAAGAGTTCCAAGATTTTTTGCAAACCGTACTTTTCAAGCGTCATTTGACAGATGGAGGTCATTGGCTTTCCTATTCTTATTTGAAGCGCATTATACAGTGAACGGTTCCACGTTAGACTGCAATTAGAAAGGCGGACGCGGCACGGATTCCTCAAGTACAATAATTTCATTCGAGTGTCTGTAGGGGTTGCAGAGTCTAGTTAATTTGGGAATGCATGTAACTCGATGTGTTATCCACCGTCTTTTGCTGCACGTAGCCACACTCGCGCATCGTCCATGCGTGTACTCTAGCGAAGCATTGACATTCAATACGACCATTCTACCGGTATAATAGCTTCATTTATGTATTTCTTTAATACTTGAGTTTAGTGTAAAATTAGCTTAGCTAAATTGCCTTATAGAACTAAGCTAATCAATGTAATCTCTCAACAGTACCGGTTCGCTCGATTCAGTCTCTAATGTACTAGTTATGAGTGTGCAAATTCGTTGGCTGTTTTGTTAGTTGTGGCGATAATTTATTTTATTTTAAATTCAAACAACGTAATCCCATAGATAAATACCTCATAGCCTAATATGAATTATGAGTAAATTATATGGATAATATAACATAATCAACGGCGTAAAATAAGTTTTTTGGGCTGCTGCCACCCTTCGCAATCTGCCGGCCCGGGCCATGGCCCCTTTTGGCCTTAGGGAAAATACGCACCTGAACATTATTGTTAGTAAATAATCTTAGTGACTTATTAACTTACATAGAATGTAAATTAAATTCTATTGTGGCGGCGACATCTATATGCCCCACATATATATATACAACGGATGGAGGAAATCATTACTCACCATCCTCAAGAGATGGCGTTACCTGCACTGCGATCATAATAGTATGGAAGTCTACATCGCGCAAATGAAATTCGGAGGTTAACTCTTCATATATACGATGCCCGACCAACATCAGTCGGGCCGCGGCCCCCGAGCTAACATCACCCAGCTCGGAGGAAGATCTTCCCCTTTGGCCTTCCTACACTATTATAATGTCATCTAATATATTGTGTTTGAGTTGTCGGCGGAAATGTATCGTGTCTCGCCCCTCGAGGACGGCGACGAGGCACCGGTGGATGCAGATGTATGTGTGTGGGTCATGCGAGGCCGGTCACCTTCGAAGGCGGGGTTGTGGTGGTGGTTGTGGTTGTGGTTGTGATGGGGGGGCGGCTGCAGGTCCTGCCCCTCGAGGACGGCGACGAGGCACTGGTGGATGCAGATGTACTGCTGCTCGGTCTGCACCATCCACACTCGCTCGCGCCGCATGCCGTGCACCATGCCGAAGATGTCCAGGTACTCCGCGTGCGCTGACAACTGACCATACACACACATCATTTATTTATTTCATCACCAACATGATAAACTTTGACACAACGATCTAGCAGGTAATGATAAAATACTTAAGCTTAATGTTATTACAATAGGGATGATGAGATTTTTTTTTCCTTAGTTTATCAGGTAGTTTATGAAAAAGTATAGGACACGTATTTTTTCTTTTTTCACATAATATAAACATTGCAGAGATATATTGATTTGAAAAGTCGCATGACGTCACTTATAAGTGAAAATTCACTCAAAAGTGACGTCACGAGCCCCTACTCCCAAACCTTGACGCGCTATAACTTTGTCTTTTTTGGTTGATTGTCCAAAAAAAAAAATACGTGTCCATTATTTTTTGATCATCTAACTGACGGACTAAATAGAATTTCGTTTACTGTACCCCGTCATCACCCCTATTATAGGTGAAGACCACATGCCTTATGGAATAGAAGCAACAAATGCTGGTAAAATGTCGATGAAAAAGTCTTTAAAAGCTTTCTAAGATTAAAAAAAAATACATGTAATCAACAATGTCCCGGTTTAAATCAATGCATTATAAGAAGAGTTATAATCGGATAAAATCAACTTATATATATTACTAGCTGACCCAGCGAACTTCGTACCGCCCTAAAAAAAATAGGGGTTGTCCAGCGGACAAAATTGTGAATCTAAACCATTCTCAGATCCCCTTGAACACACAAAAAATTTCATCAAAATCGGTCCAGTCGTTTAAGAGAAGTTCAGTGACATACACACTCACAGAAGAATTATATATATAAAGATAATAAAAATAAAAAAATACTCGAAATTAATTAGTCACAATAAATTACAGATAAAATTAATTGATTTTAATATGAGATGCCTCGATGCCTCGTATATGTTTATTATCATTAAAGCCTCGATGACACGAGGCACCGAGACTCAAAACGCGGGGCGAATTTACAAGGTGCTAGCGAACTCGCTAGCTTGTAACTTGTAAACTGGCCTCCAATCATCAAGGCTTAACTAAAATAAAATCCTTTTACATTATATTTGCTCGAAGATCTTAGTGGCGCTTCACAAAGAACAGGTCTTAAAATGAACATGGATAAGACGAAAATCATGTCGAACGCCCGTGTAGTACCCGCTCATACGATAATTGGGGACACTAAACTCGAAGTTGTCGACCATTACGTTTACCTGGGACAGGCAGTTCAATAAGGTACCTAAGCCCAACTTTAAGAAAGGCATCCAGCTCGGATGGACAGCGTTTGGGAAGCTACGGAAATTCTTCGCGTCCAAAATTACTTATTTATTATCTATGTCTCAAGACAAAGGTCTTTGACCAGTGTGCGTTGCCACCGCGGGTTTCATAGGAAGGTTTAAGGTCACACAGGGAGCAATGGAGAGAGCGATGACGAGAAAATACGGAGATATTATCCTACGCGTTAAAATTAAAAATGAGGAAATCCAAAATAGAACTTTGATATGATAAATGGCAATGGGCGGGACACGTAGCGAGGAGAACCGATGGCTATTGAGGCGAAGGGTTCTTGAATGGCGACCGCAACCCGGACGATGCAATGTGGGCAGGCTCCCCCACCAGGTGGACTGATGATTTAGTGACGGTTGCGGGAAGGCCGATGGATACGACTGGCGCAGGACTGATCGGTATTGAGATCCTTGGGTGGAGGCCTATGCTCATTAGTGGGCGTCGTACGGCTGATATAATATTGATGACTATATTTCATCATTATCATCATTAGCCATTAATGTACCCACTAATGGGGCACAGGCCTTCCCTATGGATGGAATAGGGAGATTGGGCCATGACCCACCACGCGGGCCCAGTGCGGATTGGTGGGTGCTAACGACTGCAGATGCAGCCGGGACCAACGGGTTAACGTGCCTTCCGAAGCACGGAGGAGCTCTATATTTATATATATAAATTTAATTTAAGCAACTAGAGAGCCTTTCCTTGTACATTATTAACATATAATTACAGTAACTAAAATTTTCTTTGGTTTCTTCTATACCACATTGCGCAACCTGACGTAATCCCGTTGTTTCAACCTGGCTATGCATTTCAATTGAACAATTTAGGAGTTAATCTGCGATATTTGTTCCGAAGAATACCGCTATACATAAATGTGGGTAGGAGTGGGTCAGTGTACCTGCTGCAGCGCGCGGTCCAGCGTGATGAAGGTGCCGGAGCGCCCCACGCCGGCGCTGCAGTGCACCACCACGGGCCGTCCGCGGGGCACCGCTATACATAATGTGGGTAGGAGTGGGTCAGTGTACCTGCTGCAGCGCGCGGTCCAGCGTGATGAAGGTGCCGGAGCGCCCCACGCCGGCGCTGCAGTGCACCACCACGGGCCGTCCGCGGGGCACCGCTATACATAATGTGGGTAGGAGTGGGTCAGTGTACCTGCTGCAGCGCGCGGTCCAGCGTGATGAAGGTGCCGGAGCGCCCCACGCCGGCGCTGCAGTGCACCACCACGGGCCGTCCGCGGGGCACCGCTATACATAATGTGGGTAGGAGTGGGTCAGTGTACCTGCTGCAGCGCGCGGTCCAGCGTGATGAAGGTGCCGGAGCGCCCCACGCCGGCGCTGCAGTGCACCACCACGGGCCGTCCGCGGGGCACCGCTATACATAATGTGGGTAGGAGTGGGTCAGTGTACCTGCTGCAGCGCGCGGTCCAGCGTGATGAAGGTGCCGGAGCGCCCCACGCCGGCGCTGCAGTGCACCACCACGGGCCGTCCGCGGGGCACCGCTATACATAATGTGGGTAGGAGTGGGTCAGTGTACCTGCTGCAGCGCGCGGTCCAGCGTGATGAAGGTGCCGGAGCGCCCCACGCCGGCGCTGCAGTGCACCACCACGGGCCGTCCGCGGGGCACCGCTATACATAATGTGGGTAGGAGTGGGTCAGTGTACCTGCTGCAGCGCGCGGTCCAGCGTGATGAAGGTGCCGGAGCGCCCCACGCCGGCGCTGCAGTGCACCACCACGGGCCGTCCGCGGGGCACCGCTATACATAATGTGGGTAGGAGTGGGTCAGTGTACCTGCTGCAGCGCGCGGTCCAGCGTGATGAAGGTGCCGGAGCGCCCCACGCCGGCGCTGCAGTGCACCACCACGGGCCGTCCGCGGGGCACCGCTATACATAATGTGGGTAGGAGTGGGTCAGTGTACCTGCTGCAGCGCGCGGTCCAGCGTGATGAAGGTGCCGGAGCGCCCCACGCCGGCGCTGCAGTGCACCACCACGGGCCGTCCGCGGGGCACCGCTATACATAATGTGGGTAGGAGTGGGTCAGTGTACCTGCTGCAGCGCGCGGTCCAGCGTGATGAAGGTGCCGGAGCGCCCCACGCCGGCGCTGCAGTGCACCACCACGGGCCGTCCGCGGGGCACCGCTATACATAATGTGGGTAGGAGTGGGTCAGTGTACCTGCTGCAGCGCGCGGTCCAGCGTGATGAAGGTGCCGGAGCGCCCCACGCCGGCGCTGCAGTGCACCACCACGGGCCGTCCGCGGGGCACCGCTATACATAATGTGGGTAGGAGTGGGTCAGTGTACCTGCTGCAGCGCGCGGTCCAGCGTGATGAAGGTGCCGGAGCGCCCCACGCCGGCGCTGCAGTGCACCACCACGGGCCGTCCGCGGGGCACCGCTATACATAATGTGGGTAGGAGTGGGTCAGTGTACCTGCTGCAGCGCGCGGTCCAGCGTGATGAAGGTGCCGGAGCGCCCCACGCCGGCGCTGCAGTGCACCACCACGGGCCGTCCGCGGGGCACCGCTATACATAATGTGGGTAGGAGTGGGTCAGTGTACCTGCTGCAGCGCGCGGTCCAGCGTGATGAAGGTGCCGGAGCGCCCCACGCCGGCGCTGCAGTGCACCACCACGGGCCGTCCGCGGGGCACCGCTATACATAATGTGGGTAGGAGTGGGTCAGTGTACCTGCTGCAGCGCGCGGTCCAGCGTGATGAAGGTGCCGGAGCGCCCCACGCCGGCGCTGCAGTGCACCACCACGGGCCGTCCGCGGGGCACCGCTATACATAATGTGGGTAGGAGTGGGTCAGTGTACCTGCTGCAGCGCGCGGTCCAGCGTGATGAAGGTGCCGGAGCGCCCCACGCCGGCGCTGCAGTGCACCACCACGGGCCGCGCGTCCGCGGGGCACCGCTCGCGGAACGCGCGCACGAACCTTAACCATATTATATAACGTCATTATGACAAAATATAATACCTGACGTCGCAAACAGAAACAGATATACGCGTAAATCAAGATTCGACGATACGTTAGCAATAAATAGGGCAAGGTATGTGACTTAATGGTAAAGACTTGACGACCTCCGTGGCCGAGTGGTTTGTACGCCGGGTTTCATGACTGTCGCCGACTCGAGAGGTCCCGGGTTCGAATCCCGGTGGGGGCAGATGTTTGTGTGATGAATACGAGCATTTGTACTCCAGTCATGGATGTTTAATATGTATTTATATAAATATACTTATATATGTACAGTATATGTATTCTATCCGTTACCCTAGCATCCCATAACACAAGCCTTATAGTGCTTACTTTGGGGCTAGGCTAATTGGTGTGAGTGTCGGAAATATTAAAAAGAAAAATTATCAAAGACACCCTCGAGAAAATCTGCCGCTCTTAAACCTTTAGCAAAGGAAATAATACAGATTTCGTAGCTTAAAAATTCGATAGTAAATATGTTAGTTCCCGAAAGTTTTAAGCATATGAAAGGTGCAGGCAAATGCAGAGCATATAGCTTAAATATTTTTTTAGAACAGATACAGAATGCAAGATAGGATATTGATTTTATTCTTTCTTCAATCTCAACTAATTTCTTAGCTGTTTAATCGTTGAAAAATCTGTATACGAAAAAAAACTGCAAATGTTAATATTATGACAGCGCTAATATAAAGTTTAAATTTTTTAAATGAATGATAGAAGATGAATATTAACAAGTTAAAAGCGTTAGTTATATTTTTATTTTTAAAGCAGTTAAATTTTATTTATTTTTATTAGACAAAACAATAACAATATCACAATTATTACATAAAAAGAAAAACAAATGGGTATTACAAGTCTATGTGAATTATTTTTTAAGGTGCATACAGCAATTTTCATACATTTTTTCTCACAAATATCTACATGAGGTAAGTTAATTGTTACTCATAGAGGTATTTGTTACTCAATCGAATTTTCATAATTTGCGCGATCTATCTCCTTGTTCCTATGGTCCCTCCCAAATTTTTGGCATTCAAAAGTCCTAACTGTCCCAGGACTTTTGAATGCCAAAAATTTTGTGAACTTAAAAAAATGCTTAAAATATTTTTGAAGTTATACTTCTTTAGGCGCGTTATGAAAAAATGATGAGAGTGAAATTTTAAGATGCGCGCGCATCACTGTAACACAAAATTTTAACAGCATGAAGTTGGTCGCTTTAGCGACCAACTTCATGCGTTACTTTTGTGTTTACCGCACATTAAGAAATTCTACCAACAAAATAGAATCTCTATTTAGTGGGTGCTAATGACTGCATTGTGAAGGCCTACCAAAAGTATTTATTAATCTGGAACAACGGAACCAAAGCGCGATACAGGAGACTACAGCGCCATCTCTTGACCATTGGTGTAGTAGAACCAAAAAGCACATCTTTATTTTTTGTAATAAAGTAACAGTTATAGGTATTCATATTTATCCACATGTTTCTAGTTTGTATATTCGGAATACGTGTTTGATTTTCATACAAGTGCAAATCACATATGTTCTAATAAATTATATTCAGTAGCGATTTATTGAATATTTTGATTATTTATTTATTTTTTCAAATTAAAACTGAACTTTATTGACTGTGTCCTTTTCCAAACTTTTTATTAATTTATTGTAATTAATTATTTGCATGCAATTAAAAACTAATTTTAAACTATGCCAAAGAAGGATAACTTCTCACGCGCCTACATAAGTACACGCACCCATTTTTTTCTTTCAGATGTTTAATACTTGTAAAAGATAAAAAATTCGACACGGACAATTAAGGCCGCGGTAGCAAAATGGTCAGTGGTTCGAGTCCCGTCTGCCGCCTAGTCCGCGTGGATTTTTTCTAGTAAAAATTAGTTTAGAATTAAAAGCTTACCTTGCAAGCGTAGTAGGCGGGTCGGGCACGCCGAAGTCGGGCCAGGTGGTGAAGTGGAAATGCTTGAGAACGCGCTGCTCGGCGCCGCGACAGACCATTAGCTCGGTGATGGTCCAGTCGGGGTAGCGCGACTCGTTGAGCGCGGTGACGGCGATGTCTCCGTAGTAGACTGGCCGCGTGTCGTACGGCCAGTAGCGGTCGCACTTCTCGCGGCCCTTCTCCACGCAGCGCGTCAGCATCACGATGGCGCGCGACCCAGACTCCCAGCACATGCGCCAGAAGTCGTCGCGTGTGCAGTGCAGCGGACCCTGCAATCACATTCGTACATCTGCTGTCCACATCGGAACAGGGGAGGGAACTATATCGGTTATTCCCGGAAGTTGAGGCCCGACTCGAGTATACAGAAGTCGTCGCGTGTGCAGTGCAGCGGACCCTGCAATCACATTCATACATCTGCTGTCCACATCGGGACAGGGGAGGGAACTATATCGGTTATTCCCGGAAGTTGAGGCCCGACTCGAGTATACAGAAGTCGTCGCGTGTGCAGTGCAGCGGACCCTGCAATCTCATTCATACATCTGCTGTCCACATCGGAACAGGGGAGGGAACTATATCGGTTATTCCCGGAAGTTGAGGCCCGACTCGAGCCTGACTATGAAACTTCGCAACTGCTGACGGGACACGGCTGTTTCAGGGGTAGGCTTCACAGAATGAAGCTCGCGGAGGTGGGGTCGTGCTACTGCGGGGAGGGAGAAGTAGAGGACGCTTACTACGATCTGTGCGAGTGTAAGCTCTACGGGGAGGCGCGTAGGGATCTGCTGGACAGTGTGAAGGTGCTAGAGGTTGGGCCGGTCTACTATCGCGACCTTGTGGGATCGGAGACGAACTTCAGGCGGCTGCGGGATTTCGCGCGTAGATGGCACAAGATTCGGAGTGGACTCGAGAGGTGAAGAAAGAAGAACCGAGGCGAAGAAAGCGATTAGGAGCCAGCGGTACCACTTCAGAGTGGGCACGGGACGGCTGGGATGGCGACGAAGGCGTTTCGTGTTCGTCAGCCCCAGAAAGGGAAGAGGGACCATAATTTGTAGGGAGTCAAGAAAGTATGGGCGGTGGAGGCCATTCCGCGCGTATCTCCCGCTGCTTCGGCCTGCATAACCAAGAAGGTTCGTCAGGCCACGGGTGGTTGGTGGGATTTGTCCACTCTACTAACTATAAACTAAAGCCGGGTCTCCAGCGCGCGTTTAGCCGTACAAAATCAACAAAAACATGAAAATTCAAGAAAATCATCTACAGAAAACTTTGTTTTACTACACATATTTGCTTGAATCAACTGTTCAGCCTTAAAGAAGGGTTTGTTTGAGTTTTATGTTTATGTAGTACCATTTGGTTTAGAAAGATGGTGCTAGTAAACCCTGACAAATGTTCGGGTACATATGCTAAATTGCGCTGTAGGGATTATTATATGTATACACTTAAAGTGGATAAACAAGGTTCAAAATAGGTAATAAATTGGGCCACAGCAATTTTGTTTTTGTTTAAGAAATCCCCTTTCAATCGACTCCCCGTAAAACCGGGTTGTACATCAACAATGTTTTTCCATTCCGAGCTCGATGGAAAATACGTTCAGAAATCCCGCCCCCCTCTGCGCGGGTCGAGGGGGAGGTTATTGTTTCATCGGCCATTTTTTGACAACTCGCTAGCGGGGGCTGCGTTCCAAACGCTTCGAGTACAACTTTTTGACGCGACAACGTCTTAAATTAGGTTGCGGCTGGGAGTCACTTATGAAAAAGTGTAACGCTCGGTAACGTTACGATGAGTTTAAGTTTACATGTACAATGTTTTAGTAAACAAAATATATATCTATAGTTAAAATTTGTGCAATTCTTATTTTCATTCAATTCCTTGTTCCTATTGTGCAATTTAATTATATTCATATCAATAAATATTCTACCGAGAAAAAGACGTTGTCACGTAAAATCTTCGCCCGTAAAACCGACTTTACAGGCAACCATTTTTTTTTTATTCCAATGTTTAAATTTTGACATAAAATATAGAAAACTTTTAAAATTTTACATATGCACCTGGATTGTAGTTTTTGAACGTAGCTCTGTGTATTTTGTGCACGACAGCCACGTGAGCAGTAGGCGGCGAGTGTAGAGAAACATGTTTCAGAAACAAAGTTTTGTGTATGTGTTTCAATGTTTTCAAAGAACTTTTGGTGGAGACCCGGAAATTTAATGTTAAAGGAGATGCACTCGTGTTATAGAAAATCGACGTAAGTGCACCAGACCAAGTACACATAAACTCCGTTGAGTATCTTACCCAAACATTTTAATGTTTTAAATACGCTATTGGTATATTCACTAATTTACGAATACATCACTGCATACAATGAGGAGCTCAATGGCGTAAGTGTTTACCGCGTTCGGACTGCCAACGTGGAAGTTAAGCAATTTTCACAATGGCCAGTAATCAGATGGATGACTTAAAATTTGTTGTCTCTAGAACTTTCAAGATTTATTACAGCAATATTGTTCGAGAGGATGTGTAGTGTTAGCGTAGTGACCTGTGTGACGATGAACTCCCTCGGCGAGTTGTGGCCGGGCACGTAGTTGGCGTTGATGTAGTCGGAGCCCTCCTCGTCGTCGACGGGCTGCAGCTTGTAGCGCGAGTGGTCGTAGGGCAGGATGTTGGTGAAGCGGTTCTTGGGACGGTTGCAGGGCAGGTCTGCCGCCGTGCACGGCTGGTCGCGCCCCACGTGCTTCAGCTCTTCAAATTCCTCGCTGAATCTGCATACCAACACGTCATTCGCAATCTCATACCTTATAAACTTAGTGAATAAAACATTGAATAGGTGTCTGTCTGCCTATCTGTAACGCTATCATGTTTCTGATTTTGTTAAATTTTGGCCTATGTCTGCTTTATTGCGGACCTTGGACAACATGGACACAAAAAATCTGTTTGTTGTTAGATTCTCAAAAAATTGAGTCATTAGACTTATTGATCAACAGTATTACAACTTTAAATTTCAGGTTCACGATAAAATTTAGTAAATATTGAATTAATAAATAAAAACACTGTTTGTTTTGTCAGCATGCATGAGATAGAGGGTGCGTATGTGTATGTGTATGTGTATGTGTATGGGCGGTACCTGAAGTCGGAGTCGGCGGACATGAGGCGGTAGTGGTCGATGAAGTCGGCGACGCGCACGGGGCGGGCCGCCACGGGCACGAGGGCGGGCGCGGAGAGGGCGGGGCGGCGCCGCACCCGGCGCGCCACCAGCAGCGTGGCATGCATGAGATAGAGGGTGCGTATGTGTATGTGTATGGGCGGTACCTGAAGTCGGAGTCGGCGGACATGAGGCGGTAGTGGTCGATGAAGTCGGCGACGCGCACGGGGCGGGCCGCCACGGGCGCGAGGGCGGGCGCGGAGAGGGCGGGGCGGCGCCGCACCCGGCGCGCCACCAGCAGCGTGGCATGCATGAGATAGAGGGTGCGTATGTGTATGTGTATGTGTATGTGTATGGGCGGTACCTGAAGTCGGAGTCGGCGGACATGAGGCGGTAGTGGTCGATGAAGTCGGCGACGCGCACGGGGCGGGCCGCCACGGGCGCGAGGGCGGGCGCGGAGAGGGCGGGGCGGCGCCGCACCCGGCGCGCCACCAGCAGCGTGGCATGCATGAGATAGAGGGTGCGTATGTGTATGTGTATGGGCGGTACCTGAAGTCGGAGTCGGCGGACATGAGGCGGTAGTGGTCGATGAAGTCGGCGACGCGCACGGGGCGGGCCGCCACGGGCGCGAGGGCGGGCGCGGAGAGGGCGGGGCGGCGCCGCACCCGGCGCGCCACCAGCAGCGTGGCATGCATGAGATAGAGGGTGCGTATGTGTATGTGTATGTGTATGTGTATGGGCGGTACCTGAAGTCGGAGTCGGCGGACATGAGGCGGTAGTGGTCGATGAAGTCGGCGACGCGCACGGGGCGGGCCGCCACGGGCGCGAGGGCGGGCGCGGAGAGGGCGGGGCGGCGCCGCACCCGGCGCGCCACCAGCAGCGTGGCATGCATGAGATAGAGGGTGCGTATGTGTATGTGTATGGGCGGTACCTGAAGTCGGAGTCGGCGGACATGAGGCGGTAGTGGTCGATGAAGTCGGCGACGCGCACGGGGCGGGCCGCCACGGGCGCGAGGGCGGGCGCGGAGAGGGCGGGGCGGCGCCGCACCCGGCGCGCCACCAGCAGCGTGGCATGCATGAGATAGAGGGTGCGTATGTGTATGTGTATGTGTATGTGTATGGGCGGTACCTGAAGTCGGAGTCGGCGGACATGAGGCGGTAGTGGTCGATGAAGTCGGCGACGCGCACGGGGCGGGCCGCCACGGGCGCGAGGGCGGGCGCGGAGAGGGCGGGGCGGCGCCGCACCCGGCGCGCCACCAGCAGCGTGGCATGCATGAGATAGAGGGTGCGTATGTGTATGTGTATGGGCGGTACCTGAAGTCGGAGTCGGCGGACATGAGGCGGTAGTGGTCGATGAAGTCGGCGACGCGCACGGGGCGGGCCGCCACGGGCGCGAGGGCGGGCGCGGAGAGGGCGGGGCGGCGCCGCACCCGGCGCGCCACCAGCAGCGTGGCATGCATGAGATAGAGGGTGCGTATGTGTATGTGTATGGGCGGTACCTGAAGTCGGAGTCGGCGGACATGAGGCGGTAGTGGTCGATGAAGTCGGCGACGCGCACGGGGCGGGCCGCCACGGGCGCGAGGGCGGGCGCGGAGAGGGCGGGGCGGCGCCGCACCCGGCGCGCCACCAGCAGCGCCAGGCCCGCCCCCACCACCAGCGCCACGCACGCGCACGCGCCCGCGATCCACGCCGTGTTGTCCACCTCTGTGCGCGCATGGAGACAATTGAATGAGCGTTCCTCAGGCAGTTGTTAGATAAAGTCAAACCCGAACTGGACGCTCGATAGCTTCACCCCTTTCATACTTTTCTATCCGTCGGACATAGGATATCGCATTCTCTTTCCTATTAAAGAGTTATCGATATCATGATCGGTCCGTTCTCCGTATAAGACTTCTTCTTTTACTGTCATCCGTTATTCACCCTACGGATAGTCCTCATAGATTCATATAAAATCAATTTAAATTAATAGTGGAGTAGAACTCCCGATCTGATTATAGAATGACTGAGGGTATGATCTCACTCAGACTAGACGTTATAATGTCATAGAAATGTTTGTGAAGTTTAGAAAAACTATAATAATCGACTAATAATAATAAAAATTAAATCAAATTCAAATATGTGTTACATTTTGAAAAACTCACAATAATACTCGATCATCGATATCTGAAAATTTTACTGTTTTTTATCATATATATTAGTATATTGTTATCATTAAAACAATATACATAGGTATATACTTACTCAAACAGCATCAATCTTCTGTAAAAATGTAACTTCAATGGGCACTCGATGGAATAAACCACACTCCTCCTTCACCATTCCCACAGATTTTAAAACAAGTGCAACTTTTGTCGTCATAAAATATATAAATAAATATTAAAAAGCCACCAGTTTTATGAAACCACAACCAATGTGAAAATATATAGTTAACTAACAACAATAATATTTTTTCTATAGATTTCCGATGCACTCTGTTCGTGCTTCGTAATCACCGATAGTCATTAATATTAAAATCGCTTTATTCTACGACCCTCGCGTTCAATAAAACGAGTACAATTAATCATTAGGAACAATTGGCAGTCGATGACAACGAGGTTGTTTTAATCAATTGTGGCCCTGAAGTACCTCATGATAAATTCTATTTCCTCATGGCTTATTCTTAATCTATTCAAATAGGTTCAGATATCCTGTTTTTATGTTTATTCAAACAATCACCTTTGTAGGTAATGATGAGTAATAAATACCAATATGTTGTAATTGGGTATGTCAATGATAAAACAATTGCTTTGCGTCGGAACGATAACAATTGAATGAGCTGCAACTTTACACAAAAACAATAAAATCATTAATATTTAATAACAGTCAAATTATGCCAATTTTACTATAACCGTAACTTGTTCAACGCAGGCACCACCACCCAATTGAATCGTATTAAAGTTAATAGTAAAACTTTTACCGTTTTAATTGAAAGAATATCCAGTACCCAAGCATACTTTTGTTACGAAGCATCATACCAAATAATATACACATAATAATGTTAGCATTTACCTAAGCTTACGTGGTGGCGATTCAGAACCAATTCTTGTTATACTTCTTCATACTATTTATTCGAAAAGGTTTAATTTAATTAATGAAAAACACTTTAATAAGAAACCCGGGTTTTTAACCTAGATTTCGGAGTCGGGTCGACAGACAATTGACGCGCGACTGGCGGCCGCTATCGCGACGTGTTCACTAATCGGATGTAAAGATAATACTGATTACGTATTACGTTACAGGCGATGCGATGATACTACTAAAAGAGGAAGCTCAGTAAAAATGATGCGCAAAACAAAAAATTGTGTGTGTCAGCTCCGACGCACGACTGGAGTTTACTCCTTAAGTTCGATAGTCTAACCTGACGCAAAAAGAGTTTATTTAACTTAAAAAAGATTGATACTGTATGAAAAGGTAAATTAACAAATTAATGAAAATAATATAAATATATATTTATTAATTTCATATATATTTATTATAACTAATCGACGAAATATTTTACATTAAACTTTTTACAATAGTCAATTTCAGATGTGCATAAATATATCATTAGGAATGTTGATAAATAATGTAATTATTATTATCAGACTATTATATTTTTTTTAAATATTAATTAAATCAACATTGTCTGCATTATTAATTACAGTGACAAGTGGTTAATGGTAACCAAAATAAGACACATGGACGTACGTAGATACGTGGTTCACGAATCTTGAAAATACCGCACCAATAGTTGTACCATACCTCGTTGTCCCCATTGCTCTATCAGAAACCATATCTAAATTCAGTTCAGATTTAAAAAAATATATTAATGTCAATCCGTCATCTTAGTTTGTCAAAGTTGCGCGACATAGGATGCGCACCAAAAACGCAACGAGGTCATTCATCGATAGATTTTACTCCTCACATTTTTCTCATACCGGGCCCCTTATATATGCAAATCGATTCTTAAGGAGTAAACTCCAAAAATCAGTATTTTTTAATTTGTGATTTAAGATTATCTGAAAGTGTAATTTATTACCTAATTAAAAATATTCCATAGGTAAGAGGAATTGGTTCATGGACAGTTAGCAGTTTTTTTATTAATAGAAAGAGCTATAGGAAAGTTTGATCAAACAGTGCATGCAAGCCCATGTGTGTAAGTGAGTAGGGTATTAGTTGTATTAATATGAAAACACACAAGTATTCAAAATATGCTTTTATTTTACAATAAATTACTATGATTAGTCCACACAAAAGTGTCTACAATGAAAAAATATCACATTAGAAAGTAAGTATTCTATCCCCCGTACAAGAGGCGAGCATCAAAATATCACATTATATCACAGCTTTTTTATTAACAAGCATAGGGGAGCCTTCCTGCGCTACAGGCGTGCTACACGAATGTCAAACAAATTAATTTCTAATAGGCTATTTGACAGGATGAAAAATTATGTACCAATTGTTGGTATCTTTATTTAACATGAATATTAGTAGCGATTTACTATTCTGAAACAACAAACAATTAATAACTTTTTTATAAAATCATTAAAATTGGAAACGATTTTTTGCTCCATGGTCACGTCACCGAAAACGCCTCGGATTGGCCAAGATTAAAATGACGTCACACGCTAGTGAAATTCCGGTCAAAGTGATATTACATTACATTGCATTGTTTCGACGTTTTAATTACAGTCGTGTGGCGTGACGCACTATTGAGATGCCATAATGTCTAGCGAAACCTGTTTGGCGGCAACTTGAAAATCGAATTTTCAATTTAGTTTTTTTAACTGAATCGCACAACAGAATTAAAATATCCACTTATTACCGACTCCATTACACAACACAGCAAATAACGGGGGAACGTTTTCTGAAACCTGTCAAATAGCCTGTTTTATTCATTCATTCATTTTACATATTATAGACGCGTAGCACTCCCGAACACCTATGACTACCACCACCACCGATACGCAAAGAGTTAATAAGTTTGTAGCGGGTCCCCGGTCCTCGGGTCCCCGGACCCAGGTCCCCAGTCCTCGGGTCCCCGGACCCAGGTCCCCAGTCCTCGGTCCTTGGGTTACCAGTACCGGTGTGTATGACGGCGTAGGCGGTGTCCGTGAACTTGTCCGGCGCGGTGAAGGCGCGCAGCTTGACGTAGTAGGTGGTGGCGGGTTTGAGCGGCCCGTTGCAGTAGCTGCGGCCGCCGCCCTCGCACCGCTCCGACCCGATCGTGAACTCCTCAACGGCCGACGAGTGGAACGGGTAGTACGGCTCCGTCACCTGGGTTATATGACCTCCATCGATACGGGGACGGGGACACGGGAACACGATCCGCAACCATCGATATCATGTCGAAAGTTGAAAAAAATATCAATATCGGCTTCGATATATCGCGAAAAAAACATCGATATATCGATATATCGGACCAATTTTTAGTTCACGAAATATGACACGCGGAATAATAATGGAACGAAAATTATCTCCCTAAAAATAGACCCTATTTTCGAATGATGACATAGACAATACTAAATACAGCACAGATCATAGATATGTTGAATATCATTAATCTGAGATCCAATTACGATTTTTCCAGATACGAATTTAGTTAGATCGTGATATGCCGCTAATAATTAAAAAAATATCTAAAGAAAATATAACTAGAAAATTAGAATAGAATAGATTTAAACATCAAGCAGTTACATGCTTTAAAAAATAATAAAAATTATAAAAAAATATCGTTTTTGATACGAATTCCGATATTGGTTATTTTGTATCGATGTATCGATATATCGAATCAAAATATATCGCCAAAAAATATCGATATATCGATACATCGATATATTTTCAACAAACCTAGTCTCCGTCAATCAATAAACAAAGTTTCGTGCATTAACCCGTTAAAAACTAGTTTTATTTAATGAGTGATGTGCGTGAAAGGAGGAGGAGCTCGATGGCGCAGGTGGCTAGCGCGTTCGGCTGTGATTGTTGAAGTTAAGCAACTTTCGCAGTGGTCGGTCATTGGATGGGTGACCGAAAATTTACTATCTCGAGCTCCTCCGTGCTTCAGAAGGCACGTTAAGCCGTTGGTCCCGGCTGCATTTGCAGTCGTTAGCACCCACCAATCCGCACTGGGCCCGCGTGGTGGGTCATGGCCCAATCTCCCTATTCCATCCATAGGGAAGGCCTGTGCCCCAGCAGTGGGGACATTAATAGGCTGATGATGATGTGCGTGAAAACCTTAGAAACAAATATCATGCCTCCGCTACTCGTTAGGGAGTCTATTGTTTCTAACTCCCAAAAATATTACTTAAACTAATGTAAAACGACCTCCGTGGCCGAGTGGTTTATACGCCGTGTTTCATGGTGTCGCCGACTCGAGAGGTCCCGGGTTGGAATCCCGGTGGGGGTAGATGTTTGTGTGATGATTACGAGCATTTGTACTCCAGTCATGTATGTTTAATATGTATTTCTATATAAATATACCTATATATGTACTTAATCCGTTACCCTAGTATGCCATAACAAAAGCCTTACAGTGCTTACTTTTGGGGCTAGGCTAATTGGTGAGTGTTAGAAATATTTATTTATTTATAAAAACGTAGAAAATGTCCTTAAAGACAGTGTTATATAACAAAAATACGGTCTATTATGAGAAGTTAAGACCTAATAAATTTAACGTGCGAGCGTGCGCGAGATGCATTCGAATTTTATTTAAAGAACAATAACGGCATCCGAACAAAAAGAATTCCTTTTAATTGATGAGGTTAATAAAAAAATCTTCTTTATTCGCACTATTTTTAATATTTCGTCGATCTATGACGTCAGTGCACTGGCCACTATCATCATCATCATCATCATCAGCCTATTAATGTCCTCACTGCTGGGGCACGGGCCTTCCCTTTGGATGGAATGAATTCATATAGTCGTGGTCAAGTCACAGTGGGTACAGGTTGTGAAGTACAGATTGTAAAGTGGGTACAGATGGACCCAGCCCAGGGGGGGGGGGTCACGATCCCCATGACACCCCCCCTGGATCCGCCATTATCCAGTCATGGATGTTTAATATGTATTTCTATAAATACACTTATATATGTACTGTATATGTATTCTAACCGTTACCCTAGCATCCCATAACACAAGCTTTATTTTGGGGCTAGGCTAATTGGTGTGAGTGTTGGAATTTTTTATTTTTTGAAGTGAAACTTCTTTATCGGCGTTGGAAAAAAATTTACCGTCACATTTTTTTCGGTTACGCGTCACGTTTTTTGGTTACGCGCCATCTTTTTGACGTGACAACGTCTTAAATTAGGTTGCGGCTGGGAGTCACTTATGAAAAAGTGTAACGCTCGGTAACGTTACGATGAGTCTCTCGTGTTAAGTTTAAGTTTACATGTACAATGTTTTAGTAAACAAAATATATTTCTATAGTTAAAATTTGTGCAATTCTTATTTTCATTCAATTCCTTGTTCCTATTGTGCAATTTAATTATATTCATATCAATAAATATTCTACCGAGAAAAAGACGTTGTCACGTAAAATCTTCGCCCGTAAAACCGACTTTACAGGCAACCATTTTTTTTTAAAAGAGCACTATTTACCTCATCCGAACAATTGCTTCTTCTGTCAACTTAAAAAAAAAAAAGTATCGACAGCGAATATTCGTGTTTCACACAAGGTAAGGTAAGGTAAGGTAAGGTAAGGTAAGGTGTAGTTATACCCCTTTAGTGGGTGAGTTTTTGAAAAATCTTAGCGCACGCCTATATATATATTTCTGGAAAGTTGCATGTAGATCATTTTTCGAAAAAAATAAGGCCATAAAGAAGTTTCACTTCTTACGTGTGTACACTAGTACACGCACACATTTTTTTTTATTATTTTTGTGGGGTATTGCGTAGGTATAGGCACTGACCTGGTAGGGCGGCCACGTGGGCAAGTGGTGCACGTCCCTCCAGGAAGGCAGGCGGGCGGGGGTGTCGGCGCGCGGCTCCTCGGCCAGCACCAGCGTGTACGCGGTCACGTTCCCGTTGGCGTGCGAGAACGAGTCCGAGCGGAACCGCACCGCCACCGTGCTGGGCGACTGGCGCAGCGCGCGCGGGGTGGCGCCCGCGGGGGGAGGGGGCGGCGCCGCGATCGGCGCGCGCGATACTAGCGTGCTACTAGCACCCGCGCCCGCGCCCGTCGCGCCGACAATGCTGGCGCGGTACTCCGCGCCCGCCGACAGGCCCGACACTGTGGCCTGCCGCGCCTCCGGGCCGAGCTCCACCTGACGAACACGGGTCTTAATGCGCAACGAGTAACAAACGGTATGTGGTGAAGTGTAAATCACGTCCTCTAATTAGTTAGGTATCTAAGCCTAAGCACGTTGTAAATAGTATATAAGATGTAGGTTGAGTTGATTAAATGTTGATATCACATTGAACGCTCGTCGTGATTTCTCTCGTGAGTCACCCACACCCCATCACCACAGGTACCTTTAAACGGGCTTGCGATACTGCTTATCGTAATACTCGTTGCACATGACGATTAAACTCCAAATTGAGGTATTGAAGGGTAATACAGGAAAAAAATGCACGTATAAAATAATGTAAGCCCGAGGGCGGCGCCGCTATTGGCGCGCGCGGTACTAGCGTGCTACTAGCACCCGCGCCCGCGCCCGTAGCGCCGACAATGCTGGCGCGGTACTCCGCGCCCGCCGACAGGCCCGATACTGTGGCCTGCCGCGCCTCCGGGCCCAGCTCCACCTGACGATTGCGGTTCTTGATGCGCAACAAGTACCTCTTAAACGGGCATGCGATATTGCTAGTCGTAATACTCGTAGTACATGACGATTGATGTTCAAATTGAAGTGTTGAAGGGTAAAAGAGGAAAAATGAACATATAAATTAATATTAAATTTTGAGAAACATAGTTTAATCAACGATATTAAATACCCTAGGTACACCACGAGCGCTCAAAATGTGTGCCAATCAACAAGTGCTTGAACTCCACTCAAGCACTTTTTGGTTTACAGTCACGCGCGGACCGTTACAAAGTCAAGATGCCACAAAGCTCCGCAAAAAATGCGAAAATAATACTTAGAGTACGAAAAGTGTACAGTATGTATTAAAGGTTACTTTCAATATTTAAATAATGCCTGTTATTGATTTTGACTACGCGATCATCTTACGGAGCACCGTGGATCGTTCAATGTACCTTTTGGACAGGTTTCAGACACGATTTTGTTCGTGTTGGTGCATTTAATAAATTTAATATCGCTGAGTTTAATAGATAAATAAACTACAAAAACAATATTTTACGACAAAATTTTTGAATTTGCTTCTATCGTTATTAATCCTTTTGATTACGTTTTAATTTAGTTTCAAAATATAAATAATAATAAACTTCCGAAAATAGTAAACTGCTCCTTCTCCTGATCTGCTAAAAGGAATGCTTTTGAGAAACTTTTGAATTGGAAAACCATCAACAAAGATTTTATATTAGTAATGACTCAAAACATAACGTAAGATGAACCGCCGTAATTCCGCATATTTTGAAGCTTCAAACCTATCCCAAACAAAAGTAAGAGAGACGGCCGTATTCTGTAGATTGCCCCGAGATAGCGCCAGTAAAGTGTCGTCCATCACTGACTCTTTGCTCCACCGCATCACCGTCCACCGGGCCATACGTAAGAACAAACCAGCGCAATTCCCCGTGCCCGCAAGCTCCAATCATGTCACAGCATCTATGGAAGTCCCCGAGATAGCACCAATAAAGTGTCGTCCGTCACTCACCCTCTGTTCCACCGCGTCGCCATCCACCGGGCCGTAGGTAAGGATGAACCGGCGCAGCTCCCCGTGTCTGGAGGCTTCGGGCATGTCCCAGGCGAAGGTGAGAGCGTTGGGCGTGGCGTCGAGCACGCGGAAGTCGCCGGGCGCGTCGGGCGGCGCCTCCAGGGTTTGTACTTCTATGGAGTGCGCCCGGGACAAGGCTAGCAGGGTGTCTCGGGTGCCGGCGCGAACCTGGAACACATACATACATAATGCGTTTATTTTCGGCGCGTTATGAAAAAATGATGAGAGTGAAATTTTAAGATGCGATTTGTAATAAAGTAACAGTTATAGGTATTCATATTTATAATATTTATCCACATGTTTCTAGTTTGTATATTCGGAATACGTGTTTGAGTTTCATACAAGTGCAAATCACATATGTTCTAATAAATTATATTCAGTAGCGATTTTAATTGAATATTTTGATTATTTCTTCAACATACATATACATTTACAGACAGAGTAATACAATAAAAAAAAAGATACAAGAAATCAGCCATGAAATATCCATATGTATGCTGCAGAAAGCAAAAGGCCAAGGCTCGGCTAAACATTTGCCAGTTTTAAGGCAAAATACCGATTTTCAGCCATCACCTTTATGAGTGAGTAGACTAGCTTTATTTATAATAAACATTTAAAAGATTTTGCAAGGAGAAAAGAGAAAAAGCCATGACAATGCAGTGGAGAAAAACACATATTTACTACAAATATAGAATCAAAAAATTAAATGATTGTTGGCGAGATAAAATTAGATGATATAATAACTATAATTACACGTGATTTATATTAAGTACATACAAACTGTATTGTCAGTTACGAACATGGTGCGAGTACAAAATAACATTGACCGATTAAATTTCATATTATAGGTAAGTATAGAAGTTACGTAACGAAATTAAACGCAATTTGAAATTGCTTAAATCTTTAAGCTTAACACCGGATTTTTGAAAAATTTATAATAAAAATGTTACTGTTTTGAATTAGTCTTTTGTTTCAGAAACTCAAATTGATTTAACACTGTTGTTAACAGTTGACACATTGAAAATTAAAGAATAAATAATTTAACAAACCTTTTAGAAATCGAGTATATATTTGGTTTTAAAATGCTTATCTTTACTTTTTTTTTTGTATTCGTAATTTAGAAATAATATATTTATGCTTAATTTTGAAAAATTTCAACGATCTTATAATTTACTCCACAAATGTTAACTAAAATGAAAGATGGTTTGGTATAATGTGAAACAGGAAAAGCTATAATCGTGCACTGCCGCTTCTGTAAAGATAAACTGACGATGGAGGAATTCCATTCTGTACTTAGTTAGCGCGTTTAGCTGCGATCGTTGAGGTCGAGTAACCTTCGCAGTGGTCGATCATCGGATGGGTGACCAAAAATTTTTTTTTATGTTATAGGTGGCATATGAGGAGACGGCTCACTTGATGGTAAGTGATCATCGTCGCCCATGGACACTTGCAACACCAGGAGTATCACAAATGCGATGCCGGCCTTTAAGGAAGGAGTACGCTCTTTTTTTGAAGGTTTTTGGGTCGTATTGGTCCGGAAACACTGCTGGTGACAATATATTCCACAGTTTTGTCGTACGTGGTAAAAAATTTCGACAAAAACGCACGGTTGTGGATATAAAATTTACTATCTCGAGCTCCTTCGTGCTTCGTAAGACACTTCAGTCTCGGCTACATCTGCAATCGTTAGCATCCACCAACGGGAATCGGGTCCGCATGGTTAGTCGAGGCCATTGTAGTCCATCAGCAACGGGGACATGAATAGGCTGATGATGATGTTGATGATACTGACGACGACATATTTGACATTATGTGATGGAAGTTGACCTCAACACATGTTTGCAAGTTTGATGTCAACTTTCAATCGGACGACACTGTATGAAATAAAACAGGGAGAAAAAAGCAGCCCTTGCTGAGTTTCTTGCCGGTTCTTCTCAGTACAAGGTCTACCGCCGTAGATTTGCGAACCGAGGGCGTAGCTTCTAGACATTCACAAGTGCTTGTAACAGCCTAGACTGAATAAACGATATTGAATTTTGAATTTTTTGACAGGTACTGCAGCTGCAGAAATAAATCGAAGTAAATCACAAAATATTACTGGACAAGCTTTATTCGTTCGGGATAACGGGTACCTTGTTAGATCGGTGTCGTTCCTACCTTACAAGACGTCCACTGAGAGTGGTGGTGTCTGAACCTTTTTTGCAACTTCAGGTGTTCCTCAAGGCTCTGTTCCGGGTCCAATGTTTTTCAACGTTTTTATTAATGACATCACAAGGGGTACGAGCTCTAGGTCGGTCACGTCGCCGGGGCCCGGGGCCCGGGGCCCAGCGCGGCCCCCACACTCACCACCACGGTGAAGGTGTAGTTGGTGTGGGGCAGCAGCGCGGTGAGGTTGGCGTGCGTGCGCGCGACGTGTTGCGTGCGCAGCGCCCCGCGGTGCAGGTACTGCAGCTCGTAGTCGGTCACGTCGCCGGGGCCCGGGGCCCGGGGCCCAGCGCGGCCCCCACACTCACCACCACGGTGAAGGTGTAGTTGGTGTGGGGCAGCAGCGCGGTGAGGTTGGCGTGCGTGCGCGCGACGTGTTGCGTGCGCAGCGCCCCGCGGTGCAGGTACTGCAGCTCGTAGTCGGTCACGTCGCCGGGGCCCGGGGCCCAGAGGAGCCCCGCGCCCCGCGCCGACACCCAGGCCGCCTTCAGCCACGACACCGCACGCGGGAACAGTCGAGCCTGCCGCGCCACCGGGTGGGAGCTCACGTTGCGAGACACCTGCACGTATCAACACGCGACACACTCAGATCATCAGTTATTCGACAATGGGAGAAAACTAAGCTATTTGACAATATCAAAAATAAAGTACCGATTGTTGGTATTCGTATTCAATATGAACATCCATTATGTGTCTAATTTAATGGAATTCGTAGATCAGAGAATGCAAACAGACGCAGTATATATGGACTTCTCAAAAGCGTTTGACAAAGTAAATCACAAAATATTACTGGACAAGCTTTATTCGTTCGGGATAACGGGTACCTTGTTAGATCGGTGTCGTTCCTACCTTACAAGACGTCCACTGAGAGTGATGGTGTCTGAACCTTTTTTGCAACTTCAGGTGTTCCTCAAGGCTCTGTTCTGGGTCCAATGTTTTTCAACGTTTTTATTAATGACATTACAAGGGGTATTAAACATAGTAAGGTATACCTATTCGCTGATGATCTGAAGTTGACAAAGGGAATTTCATGTACGGACGACTCAGTATACTTACAGGCAGACAATGACAGCCTCCGAGAGTGGAGCAATAACAATAAAATGCTCTTCAATATTTCAAAGTGCCACCACATAAAGTACCAGGAAACATAATAAGCATCTAACTACATATACAATAGCGGGTGAGAGAATCAAAGAATTTACTACAATCAGAGACCTCGGTGTCATAATTGATTCAAAACTGAGTTTTTCGGACCACATTGATAAAATAGTAAAGGAGGCAAATTAATCATTATTTATTTATTCTTCGAAATACAAAGAACTTCAAGAATCCTTCATCTGTCATTCTGCTTTATAATAGTTACGTGAAAAGTAAGCTAGATAGAATATTGCAGTACGGTCTGGTGGCCTGATTACAAGGTTCGTATAAACTGGATTGATAGAGTACAGAAAAAACTACTTCGTAGCTTATCTTACCGCTTTAGGACTCCCCGAAAACATAGATCGTATACATAGAGATTAAGATATTTTGGGCTGAATCCGCTCTCTATACGTCGTTGCTGTCCAATGTGGTACCTTATATAAAATGTTTACTCCGTTGTCCCATAGATGGAGCTGTATTACTTTGTACTCACGGTATGGTTTAGTTCGATTGAAATATATAAGGTTTAAATAATTACGAAATAAATTGTCTATACGTTCCGGAATCTAGTTTTAATTATTAAACTACTGCATTCCTGTTTTTTGAAGAATCAAGCTGAAGTCTTTCACAAATCGCAGTTGCACCTTGATATGTCCTTCCTGTACAAACTCCTGAATAATATTATAGATAGTCCTATGCTGGTCAGTAATTTCGTTTACTATGTTCCTTCAAGATTACCGAAATACCCCTGTGGATTGTTCAGGATCAGATTCTGTCGAACGAGGATAGGTGGCTGTGCATCAGTTGTCCGCTTGGTTCGTCTATACAACGATATCGCTAAAGAGTTCCCAGAGCTAGATATCCATTTTCAAAGCTATTCTGAGTTTATGAAACTGCTTAAAAGGGCTGACGTAATTTAGCCGATTATGCTTGTAGTTGGTGCTTCCTTTTTTATGCTGTTTTTATGTATTTATGTGCCTGCTTATTTTGTGTATTTTTTTAACGCATGCTGTGGCTATGTTAATTGTAAGTGCAGTAAGCTATAAGCAATTTGAGCTTGTTTCTACCAAGAACTGCTGTAACTTATGTTGGTGGCCCTTATAATAAATACATAATATATTTATGTATGTTCACCGATTTCTCCGTCAATCGTGGACCGATTTCCAAAACCGACATCAAAATCGAGAATGGAACTAAAAATTAAAAAATAATATCTGGTTCATGATTTTGAATAGGTTTTATTTTTGGTTTAAATTATTTTTACTATTCTGAGAGAACAAATAATTAGTAACTTTTCTTAAAAATATTTTCTGACGTGATAACGTCTTATAAAAATGTCAAATGACCCATAAGAACAAATGTGCCAAATGGCCCATGACAACAAATCGAAACAGCTGTCAAAGTCACAAGGAAAACCGACACATTCTGATAAACTAGGACTGCGTTCCAAACTTACACCAGGTACAACAAATGTCAAATTTGACAAATATTTCATACATTTTATGTCAAAATTAAAAGAAAAACAGGGTAAAAACTTGCACGCAGAGCGTAGGTTTAGAACGCAGCCTTAATGTGACAGGTTGCTTTTTATGGACTAAATTTTTAAAATGCTTTGGATTTCTTCCCCATTACGACTCATTTCATACACCATTTGTCCTAAATACATAAACTAAAATTTCCCTGCCTGGAATAAGATCCAAAGTATACTGGAAAAAACATTCGATTCTTCAAAAAAGCTAAGTTTAACGCCGGTAAGTCTAGTTTCTTTTTATATAAATTGTAATGTTTGAAAGTCTACTAACGGAACAATGATGAGCTTCAGTTTCATTTTTCTATTTTAAATTGATAAAGTTGAATAATTTGCTTATAACAACACTTAACTTGGTTATTCGTATTTGCTGTTTGTCATGTTAACAGCAGCTTGTCCTTATCATACTCTACAGCAGTGATTCCCAAAGTGGTATATATCGACCCCTAGGGGTCTATGACAACCTGCAAGGGGTCTACGTCAGCGAAAAAAAATCAAGACAGGTAAGTAGGTGGTCTACCCAACACGGAAAAACATGGCAAGGAGTCTACGACACAAAAGTTTAGGGAACTCTGCTCTACAAAGACCGAAAAGGAGAGATTGTTGTAAATTTCCAAATAGCAAATACGAACAATCATGTGAAGTGCTTGCATTAGTAATAGGAACATAATAATCATTATTTTAACTTTACAATCGTCTCTGAGAATGCTTGTGTCAGTGAATGTATAAATACTTCGGTACAATCAAAGGCAGAGAACTACTCATTTATCTAATCAACTATGAAATCAAAATGGGTAATAAGTGTGAAAGAGATGAAACGAAAAGGCAGCTCATATAATTCGTCTACATATTGGTTATAATGAAATGACGTTTGAGCGTCCGTCTCCGCATAGAGTATACTGTTCGACAATTTCACAAATTTCAATAAAGATTTAAGATGCAGGTAGTACTCAACCGTGTGAATTGCCATTGTAGGCATGTACAACATTGTGTATATGTAGGTAGGTACTTATACTTTTAACAGAAAAAAATTATTGTTCGGTTTGAACGTTACCATACAGATGATTTTTGAGGGCTTTGAGTGGAGCATGAAAGATGTCAACATCATGGCATATCTCGTTGTATGCATCTTTAATTCTGTTAAACGGTGAAGCTAATTTTGTTTTAAAGGGACAGTTAACGAATGATTTGATGGGTTGGCGGGGGATTTTTCTGGGAACCTTTAACTTAATTTCCGCAAGAAGTCATGCGCAACAATATTGCCGTGAAGTAATTTGTGCAGAAATAAAATGTCCGCGGTTTTTTACGCTTTTCTAAGGTATGAAGTTTAAAGTATTTGAGACGAGTGAGGTAATCCGCACGGTAAAGACACTTCCTGTCTTTGAAAGCAAGAAACCTCGTAAAATTACGTTGAATTCGCTCGATTCTATCAATGTGGACTCGATATTGCGGATTCCAGACTTGGGAACTGTATTCTAGTATACTTTGCACCAAACTCTTATACAAGCATAAAATTGTTGCGGTGTTATGGAAATTCTTACATAGACGTTTCAAGAAACCCAACATTTTTAATGCCTTTGCAACAATAACGTTAATATGTTCAATGAATCCGAGCTTTTTGTCAATTACAATGCCCAGATCACGAGTCGAACCCACTTCGGTTAGCTGTGCAGAATTGATAGTATAGATAGAAGCGTTAATGTTTTTTGTCTTTCTGGTAAATTTTATAAATAGACATTTACTTGCGTTAAGAGTCATACCGTTGTCTACGCACCATTCCGATACCGAGTCTAGATCTTTTTGGAGTAAAAGTATATCTTCCTCGTTTTTAATCGGTCGATACAACTTTAAATCGTCGGCAAAAAGAGAGCAGCTGCTACACCGGATTTTATTAGGGATGTCGTTAATGAAAACGAGAAACAGAATTGGTCCCAAGATCGAACCCTGAGGGACTCCCGACGAGGTGAGGAATGGTTTCGATTTGTAGCCGTTCACAACTACCCTTAACAACCGATGCTCTAAGTAAGAACGGAGCCATAGCAGTAAGGGTCCATGAATTCCGTAACGCTTCAGTTTCATAAACAGTATATTGTGGTCAACCTTGTCAAACGCACTGCTAAAATCTGTATAAATGGAATCTATTTCTACTATCCTGGTCTTATCATACTATCCTGGTCTATATGTAACAATAAAATAACTATGTGAGTCAACGTGGTGTGATATAGGTACCATCCACATGGTGACGTTGTAGAGTCGGCCGGGCACGAGGCGGTCGAAGCGCACCGTCTGCGGGGCGGCGAGGGCGGGTATGTGTATGGTGTGATATAGGTACCGTCCACATGGTGACGTTGTAGAGTCGGCCGGGCACGAGGCGGTCGAAGCGCACCGTCTGCGGGGCGGCGAGGGCGGGTATGTGTATGGTGTGATATAGGTACCGTCCACATGGTGACGTTGTAGAGTCGGCCGGGCACGAGGCGGTCGAAGCGCACCGTCTGCGGGGCGGCGAGGGCGGGTATGTGTATGGTGTGATATAGGTACCGTCCACATGGTGACGTTGTAGAGTCGGCCGGGCACGAGGCGGTCGAAGCGCACCGTCTGCGGGGCGGCGAGGGCGGGTATGTGTATGGTGTGATATAGGTACCGTCCACATGGTGACGTTGTAGAGTCGGCCGGGCACGAGGCGGTCGAAGCGCACCGTCTGCGGGGCGGCGAGGGCGGGTATGTGTATGGTGTGATATAGGTACCGTCCACATGGTGACGTTGTAGAGTCGGCCGGGCACGAGGCGGTCGAAGCGCACCGTCTGCGGGGCGGCGAGGGCGGGTATGTGTATGGTGTGATATAGGTACCGTCCACATGGTGACGTTGTAGAGTCGGCCGGGCACGAGGCGGTCGAAGCGCACCGTCTGCGGGGCGGCGAGGGCGGGGCGGTCCACGACACGCGCACGCTCCGCAGACTCCCCCTCCCCCTCCAGCCGGAACCGGTACGAATCGAATGTCGTCGCCGATTCTGGCGTGCGGGTGTACAGCACTTTCTGTACACCATGAACGAATCAATCGATCAATCAATTATTTATTCGCAAATACAGGTGATACAAAGGTGTTAAATTATAATACGTACGCTGATTCCATATTTCACCACAAGGCATGCAAATTAAAATTAAACACATAGCGTACATCCATTAACACAGATTTGTCCTCTAAAAATTCCTTTCCTTTGTAGCAAATTTATCCAGGAATTCGAGTTCAGTTTGTTTGCAATATTACATAAATTCAATAAATTTGTATTTCTAAGTAAGATGGTCCCAAAACTGGTTCTAAAGTTGATACCGTTGACAAAAAAATCTAAATTTCTTTGTGATTTATTTATTGTCATCTTCAATTGTCATGTGTTATAAATACAAAATATCGTATACTATTTTATAGCAAGTGTGACATAAACCCGCCCCGGACGCGGGCAAGAGGGGGGGGGGGGGTTGCGATTAGTGTTTTGAAAGTAAAATTCATGTATTGCAATCACAAAGAATTGCAATACAGACTGCAAGTCAAACTCTGAAAAGAAAGAATTCCGGTTCAGATTACCATTTTGAAAGTATATTTCCAAAGGAAAAAATCAAATATCATTACAACAAAATAGAATTTCAATGTATCCATGAACGTTAATTCCTTGATTGGCATAGTAAAGTTAAGTTACGCGTATCGTAATGTACTAATTCTACATGAGTGAAGTTGGTCAATTCATTTACACACCGTGCAGAAATAGGCAACTTAGGTCACGGAAAAGCGTGCGTAAAGTGCGGGTTTAGGTCACACTGTGCTATAAAATAAATTATATTTTACCTATTAATTATTGGTTTTCTTTTACGAATACCCTTTCTAACATAAGAATATCATCGGATTGAAAAAGATTCAAGTAATGATTCATGTTGAATTAAATTAAATTTGTAATTACTGACCAATGAGGAAGTATCATTCTCCGGACCGTTGTCGGCATCATCAGCATCCGATTCCGTCACGATCGTCATTTCCGACTGAATCAATGGACCTGCGCGATACACCACATTTTATTAGTATTTGCTATCGTCTGAAAAACCCGCACATATTTTATAAATAATTTAATGTTTTTTATCACATTAATAAAAAAATAAATAAAAAATTAAGACAAAAAAATAATATGACAAGCGTTTGAAATAAACTATCCAACATTAAATATGTCCTTTTCAATTTATTATCTCAATTTGAACGTCTATTTTGACAGCGATTGATTCGCATCTTTCTTCAAACACTCAAGCAGACACATATTGAATCAGATAATGTTGTAAAGTCCGTTTAGAAATCCCATATATATATTATGATTCATCTGTCCTTTTATCCATGGTAACCGAAGCCTACATGCTTACTTTTGGGCTAGGCTAATTGATTTGAGTGGTGGAAATATTTACTGTATTTTTTTATATTTATTAAACAAATGGTGTACAGGTCGCTGATAAAGTCGTACGAATGGGCGGCGACAGTTATAGCATATATCACTTCAGGAGCCATTCCAATAGGAATATCCTTGCTGGTCGCCCTCCCCCTGTGAATATATAGCGAGACTCCACCCCTACCCCTCTCCTCTGTATCCATAAACAGAGGCGTCGATAACGACAAAAAATTGTGTGTGATTGTGTCCGACGCACGACTGGAGTTTACTTCTTAAGTTCGATAGTCTAACCAGACGCAAAAAGAGTTTATTTAACTTAAAGAAGATTGATACTGTATGAAAGGGTAAATTAACAAATTAATGAAAATAATATACATCTTTATATATATAATTCTTCTGTGAGTGTGTATGTCACTGAACTTCTCTTAAACGACTGGACCGATTTTGATGAAATTTTTTGTGTGTGTTCAAGGGGATCTGAGAATGGTTTAGATTCACAAAGACGTGTAGACAGGACAACGTCTGTCGGGTCCGCTAGTATATATATATATATATATATATATGTATTTATTCATTTCATATACATTTATTATGACTAATCGACGAAATATTTTACATGAAACTTTTTACAATAGTCAATTTCAGATGTGCATAAATAAAGGTGCTCTACGATACTGTGCTACGGTGTAGCACTACGGCTGCTACAGCGTAGACGGTAAAAACGTAACGAGGTCATTCATCGATAGATTTCACTCCTCACATTTTTCTCATACCGGGCCCCTTATATGTGCAAATCGATTCTTAGGGTGCGGCCAGAGTGCACTCAGATTCAGATTCAGATTTCGAAAACAAGCGCGAGAAATAAACAGTGTAGTCGAAGGGTACGGCCAGATTGCACTCCTGATTCAGATTCAGACTCAGAAAACAAAGCGCGAGAAAAAGCAGGCAACCTGCTTAGACTACACTGTTTATTTCTCGCGCTTGTTTTCAGAATCTGAATCTGAATCTGAGTGCACTCTGGCCGCACCCTTAAGGAGTAAACTCCAAAAATATGACTCACGCGTCCTAGTGTCCATGGTGAAGAGATCGCTGACGAGATCGTAGGAATGCGCGGCGATGGTAATAGTGTAGGCCGCTCCAGGGGCCAGCCCCGACAGCAGCGCCCTCGCCGGCCCCTCCTCGCCCCCCGCGGACACGTTCCTGGCCCCGGAGCTGGTCCCCGCGGTAGTGGAGGCGTTGTCAGCCCGCCACCAGCGCAGCTCGTAGAAGTCGACGCGGCCGGCGACGCGCGGCCATTCGAGTGTCATGTTGCGCGTGTCCACTAGCGCTTCAACGTTCGATACCGGGCTGGGACCTGCGGTGTCGACGTTAGTGTGTGTTATAGTCCCGCGAGGTGAGAGTGAAGGTAATAATCATATTATAAACTAAAGAAATAATTATTATCATTATCATCAGCCTATTAATGTCCCCAGTGCTGGGGCACAGGCCTTCCCTATGGATGGAATAGGAAGATTGGGCCCTGACCCACCACGCGGGCTAATGACTGCAGATGCAGCCGGGACCAACGGCTTAACGTGCCTTCCGAAGCACGGAGGAGCTCGTGATAGTAATTTTTGGTCACCCATCCAATGACCGACCACTGCGAAAGTTGCTTAAGTTCAACGATCGCCATTTGTAATTTAATTAATAAAGTTTTAACATTGCGTAACTGATCCAAACTTATTCTTCGTTTCCTTTATAAAAGGGAATATGCTCGGAACATATATTTCAAATGAGAATGGAACAGGAAAATATATTGTCATGCAGAAGAGTAGCCAAGTTGAACCCTAAAACGTCGTCGTCCTTACCTCGAGGTCGTGATAGTATGAGCGCGGCTTGTTTCACGTCTAATACACTCTGAAGACAAACTCAACAGTGGTCTTCTGGGTTTGACGGGAGATCAGGAACAAATTTACTTGAGTGAACATCTGTCTCCGTGTAAGCGCTCTTTGCATGCTCAAGTTTTATAAGTTCCGTTTATTTAGAAAGAAGGCAAAGTACAAATATCTATGGGTTCGAAACGGTCGTATTCTAAAAAGAAAAGATGACGATTCCCCTATTCTATGGATCCGGAATAGTGATACACTACAATCTTTGAAGCACTTATTATCATTCATTCTTTTTTTAGTTTATAGTGAGTATTATAGTCATAATAGTCATAACATTTATTGCTTATTATCCATACTAATATAAAATTCGATCAACTAACATTTATTATTAAAATGTTAGAAGTATACGTGGAATTACATAATTTATATTCACCTAGTCTTAACCAAAGTTATGATGTAATTGTTTGACCTAGACATGGTTTAATCACAGTGTATTTGACACGGAATTTCTAAATAATAACTATGGCATTTATCGTAGAGATCGCATCACTACATCTTCTATGAAAAAGGACGGAGGTGGAGTCCTCATAGCTGTCTTTAATAACCTTACGTCTTCTCGTCTGCCATACTTAGAAAGCAGTTCTGAGGGTATACGTACGCACGGCGTGGTAGACCTGCAGCGCGCGGGCGCTGGGCGCGGCGTCGCCGGCGGCGGGCTGGCTGGCGGAGTCCAGCCGCACCAGGTAGCGCTCGCCCGGCTCGAGGCCCGTCAGCTCCGCCGAGCGCGCCATATATACTCCCTACCCCACACACACATATATACGTACGCACGGCGTGGTAGACCTGCAGCGCGCGGGCGCTGGGCGCGGCGTCGCCGGCGGCGGGCTGGCTGGCGGAGTCCAGCCGCACCAGGTAGCGCTCGCCCGGCGACAGGCCCGTCAGCTCCGCCGAGCGCGCCATATATACTCCCTACCCCACACACACATATATACGTACGCACGGCGTGGTAGACCTGCAGCGCGCGGGCGCTGGGCGCGGCGTCGCCGGCGGCGGGCTGGCTGGCGGAGTCCAGCCGCACCAGGTAGCGCTCGCCCGGCGACAGGCCCGTCAGCTCCGCCGAGCGCGCCATATATACTCCCTACCCCACACACACATATATACGTACGCACGGCGTGGTAGACCTGCAGCGCGCGGGCGCTGGGCGCGGCGTCGCCGGCGGCGGGCTGGCTGGCGGAGTCCAGCCGCACCAGGTAGCGCTCGCCCGGCTCGAGGCCCGTCAGCTCCGCCGAGCGCGCCATATATACTCCCTACCCCACACACACATATATACGTACGCACGGCGTGGTAGACCTGCAGCGCGCGGGCGCTGGGCGCGGCGTCGCCGGCGGCGGGCTGGCTGGCGGAGTCCAGCCGCACCAGGTAGCGCTCGCCCGGCGACAGGCCCGTCAGCTCCGCCGAGCGAGCCGTCGCCGGAAGAGGCGGCAGCGACACCCACGCCGGCTGAGAACATAGCATATTGAATCGATCCCTCGAAACTTAGTTACCGAGATAAATTCGAGTATTTTTGAAGTTATACTTCTTTAACCGCGTTATGAAAAAATTATGAGAGTGAAATTTTAAGATGCGCGCGCATCACTGTAACACAATAGTAACACCATGAAGTTGGCCGCGGGAGCGTTATGAATGTTAGTGTCTAATAATGGTGGATTATTAACCACTTAGTGGTTAATAATCCACCATTATTAGACATCTGTTCGAAAGGTACTTTGAACGATCCACGGAGCTCCATAAGATGATCGCGTTGTCAAAAACAATGTTGGCACGCTCGTCGCCTCTGATCACTGTTTTCATATTTATAATATTTATCCACATGTTTCTAGTTTCTATATAGACACAACGTGTTTTAGTTACTTACAAGTGCTAATTACATATGGACTAATAACTTAAAATCAGTAGTGATTTTAATTGAATATTTTGAATATTTATTTAATTATCCAAATTAAAACTGAACTTAATTGACTGTGTCAACTATCCTTTTCCAGTCCTTTTATTATTTTATTGTAATTATTAATTATTTGCATGCAATTAAAAAATATTTTTAATGATGCTAAAGAAGTATAACTTCTCACGTGCGTACATAAGTTACACGCATCCATTTCTTTTATTAAATATTCTGATTTTAGTCAGCAGTAAACTAAACAGTAAAGGTCATGTGATTTATATTGGAGTAGAAGTTATTAGTTGAATTTATTAGTATTTTGTTTAGTTGCCCAATTTTATTGACATTTAATTATTGAATTGAGAGTTTTGACATGTATTAACAGTTTCTACCCAATTTACTGATATTTGACTATGTTTGTTTTGAAAGTATTGACATATTATTTAAAGTGTTTGCCCAATTTATTGTCATTTTTTATTGTATTGACATTATTGACCTTTTCATTTTTGTAATTTGAATCTTAGAATGATAATAATGAATATAAATAATAATTAATTTGTATGCCGATATTGGCACAACATGTTATGTACTTAGCTAATTATCACTGACAATCTTACTTACACATGTTGTTACAAATAAAATTTCTTTCTTTCTTTCTTTCAAAAAGAAGTGATATTGATAGGGTACGTACCGGCGGTGAGTCCCCGTTGTCGGGGCGGTACTGCAGATGGAAGGAGCCCAGGGCCCCGGAGGCGGGTCCCTCCCAGCGCGCGCGCAGGGCGTTGCTGGAGGCGCGCTCCACGCGGAGCCAGCGCGGCGGGAGAGGACCTGACACCAATCAACTATCAATACATCGCCTTTCAAAGTCACACGTTCAATACTTTTTCAAAGTCAGACGATAATCTAGATATCGAGCCCTTACCGCCAAATTATCGTAAGCGACACTCGCCAAATTATCGTAAGCGACACTTTTGCCAAAATGCGTTTTTTGTGGAAACTAATATTTTAAACCGTAACGGACCCATCTCTGTTGATATCTCCCTCCAAAAGAACACCGTTATAATATATTAGAGGGAAGAATAGAGGGAAATATCAACAGAGATGGGTCCGTTACGGTTTAAAATATTAGTTACCACAAAAAACGCATTTCGACAAAAGTGTCGCTTACGATAATTTGGCCAGTGTCGCTTACGATAATTTGGCAGTAAGGGCTCGATATATAAAACTCAAAGGTGACTGACTGACATAGTGATCTATCAACGCACAGCCCAAACCACTGGACGGATCAGGCTGAAATTTGACATGCAGGTAGATGTTATGACGTAGGCATCCGCTAAGAAAGGATTTTGATCAATTCTACCCCCAAGGGGATAAAATAGGGAATAGAAGTTTGTATGAAAAACTTTGTCAATTTTAAACCGATCGGGCTGAGACTTTGCATGCAGGTATAAGAAGAATCATAGATGAATGTCATTGTGTATAATGCCTGAGAACAAAAACTGTAGTCTACACCGAAGCGAAGTGAGGGCGAGCCGCTAGTCAATAATATACGGTATGTTTGCGGAACGAAATAAAACTAGAACATTCTTATAGAATGTTCTAGTAGAAAACTCCGAAGAAAAGGTTTAATAAAGTCTAACGGCATCCTTATAAATGATACGCTACAAGAGGATAGCCCGAGTCACAAACAGCGCCATCTATCGACGCACGGCGTAAACACATATCTTAACACGGCATTTCAACTACTCCAGCAGCTCCTGCAATGATGATAATAGATGGTGCTGAATTATTTCTATATTGCAACACGGTTATAAAGTATATGGGTTTTTTGATCAAATATGCTGCCATTTGATAAGACCAGTCGAGAGGGCTGCAGCACTGCATTTTAGTGTAATCCTACCCCTCCCCTATATCGAGGAACAAACAAAATCTGGTAGTCTTATCATACTAGAAACTGTATTTTTAATGATTTTTCTATTTTATTTTTAATAGCTCTGCCGGGTTTTTCACATTGCAGCTTCTTCATTTCGTGTTCTTTTGTTAATAATATGTCTAAATATATATATATATATATATATCATCGGGAAGTTCATACTAGGTTTACTTTATTTATATTATAGGGATACGAGTTGACGATTCTCCTGACGGTAAGTGATCACCGTCGCCTATACAATTTGTCCATAGCATTGTGACATTTTTATGACATATTTGTTCACCGCTAGCGACATCCTCACGGCACAGATAAGTTTGTGGCACTGTTGCTATAGTAACGTTGACAAAAACGGATGCGCGCATCCAAACCTGGCATCGTTATCGCGCATCGTTATTTTAAAAACGCCCACCCCTAGTTTTCATATAGTTTTGTCGTACGAGGTAAAAAAGGACATGGTAAAATTTTGTATGAGCGACTGCCCTAGCAATGTATAAATATTGTACTTAGTAATATATAATCCAGAATGGCTGAATATTTATAATTTCTATGAAAAAGGGCTCAGGAACTTTTGATAAAGTCACAATCTTGAAAATTATGAGATCTCCTACGTCGTCATTACCTTGCTATATTTGATAAAAGATGTTGCCAATTATTTACAGAGCCATCAATTTCGCATTTTCTTAGAATATTTCTTCACATTTATCTGATTAACACTTCACAAAAATCATTTTTAAAAGTAAAAATAAATACAAATACAAATCAAAGCATTAATTATCATACAGCCTTCTTTCGAGCCTAATCAGAAAAATAAAATCTATTATTTTAGGCCTTCAGTATTATGTTATAATAAAAATAAGGGCCAAATATGTCATAGTTTTTGGGAGTTTTGAATTAATATTTTTTATTTCGATATACTGACAGAAATATTTTTAGTATACATTTATTGTTTATTTATTTTAGTAAAACGGAACATTTTCTTTTTGAAACAGACATGAAGTCAATTTTTATACTTTTAAATATTTGATTATTTCACTATAGTTGTATGAGAATTATAAACACGTTATAATTAATAAAAAACTATTATACAATATGGGCTAGTGCAAAATAATTATATACGTTAAGGGAAGTTTCTTAGCCCTGTCCTTTGGACAAAATTGCAAGGGCGTAACGCCGATCTCATACACCGCGCCCGGGTACAGGTACAGGTACAGGTACATATACAGATATGGCACGGGGTGCCGCAGTACTCACGCACGGGCTTGTAGAGCGTGTGCCACTCGCTGCTGAGGCCGTGGCTGACGGCCGCCACGCCGATCTCATACACCGCGCCAGGGTACAGGTACAGGTACAGGTACATATACAGATATGGCACGGGGTGCCGCAGTACTCACGCACGGGCTTGTAGAGCGTGTGCCACTCGCTGCTGAGGCCGTGGCTGACGGCCGCCACGCCGATCTCATACACCGCGCCAGGGTACAGGTACAGGTACAGGTACAGGTACATATACAGATATGGCACGGGGTGCCGCAGTACTCACGCACGGGCTTGTAGAGCGTGTGCCACTCGCTGCTGAGGCCGTGGCTGACGGCCGCCACGCCGATCTCATACACCGCGCCAGGGTACAGGTACAGGTACAGGTACATATACAGATATGGCACGGGGTGCCGCAGTACTCACGCACGGGCTTGTAGAGCGTGTGCCACTCGCTGCTGAGGCCGTGGCTGACGGCCGCCACGCCGATCTCATACACCGCGCCAGGGTACAGGTACAGGTACAGGTACAGGTACATATACAGATATGGCACGGGGTGCCGCAGTACTCACGCACGGGCTTGTAGAGCGTGTGCCACTCGCTGCTGAGGCCGTGGCTGACGGCCGCCACGCCGATCTCATACACCGCGCCAGGGTACAGGTACAGGTACAGGTACATATACAGATATGGCACGGGGTGCCGCAGTACTCACGCACGGGCTTGTAGAGCGTGTGCCACTCGCTGCTGAGGCCGTGGCTGACGGCCGCCACGCCGATCTCATACACCGCGCCAGGGTACAGGTACAGGTACAGGTACAGGTACATATACAGATATGGCACGGGGTGCCGCAGTACTCACGCACGGGCTTGTAGAGCGTGTGCCACTCGCTGCTGAGGCCGTGGCTGACGGCCGCCACGCCGATCTCATACACCGCGCCAGGGTACAGGTACAGGTACAGGTACAGGTACATATACAGATATGGCACGGGGTGCCGCAGTACTCACGCACGGGCTTGTAGAGCGTGTGCCACTCGCTGCTGAGGCCGTGGCTGACAGCCGCCACGCCGATCTCATACACCGCGCCAGGGTACAGGTACAGGTACAGGTACATATACAGATATGGCACGGGGTGCCGCAGTACTCACGCACGGGCTTGTAGAGCGTGTGCCACTCGCTGCTGAGGCCGTGGCTGACGGCCGCCACGCCGATCTCATACACCGCGCCAGGGTACAGGTACAGGTACAGGTACAGGTACATATACAGATATGGCACGGGGTGCCGCAGTACTCACGCACGGGCTTGTAGAGCGTGTGCCACTCGCTGCTGAGGCCGTGGCTGACGGCCGCCACGCCGATCTCATACACCGCGCCAGGGTACAGGTACAGGTACAGGTACAGGTACATATACAGATATGGCACGGGGTGCCGCAGTACTCACGCACGGGCTTGTAGAGCGTGTGCCACTCGCTGCTGAGGCCGTGGCTGACGGCCGCCACGCCGATCTCATACACCGCGCCAGGGTACAGGTCTTCCAGCGTCGCGTTGGTCTCCGTCGTCTCCAGCTGAACGAACAATAGAACCAAATTAGTCATGCCGAAACTACCTAAAGCCCGCCAATTAGAAACGAGAGGGAAACATTATGACGAAGGCTCCTGAAACATGATTTAAAACTCATACGACTAAAGTTGGATACTAAAACGAGACGCAAACACACAAAACAATGAAATATGTTTCTGCAAATGAATTCAGCTATCCCATGATCAGCGTGTTGATCGCCTTTCCCATTTGATCGCAGTTTTTGTGTAACCACTTTCAAGTGCTGTTCGTATTCCATATTTTCAATTCGTTGGCTAAATATAAGGCTATTTCCAAGTTTTTTTTTGGTAGTTCTAATAATCTTTTACAAGTTTAGGGAACGCAACGCCACGTGATTGTTGAGAATAACATAATTAATTGCGTGTTAATTTTAAAAGACGACTGTAAATAGTACAACTTCGTGTATAGTGTAGGGCCAGTGTAGGGCGCGGGGACTCACCGCAGGCGGTAGAGCTGCTGGCGGGAGTTGACGTCGGACCGCCAGGCTACTTGCAGCCGCGGGCCCGAGGGGGAGGCAGCCAGTACTGCGGGGGGGAGGGGGGGGCAGTGTAGGGCGCGGGGACTCACCGTGACGTAGGGCATGTTGTCTAGGGGCTCGGCGGGGTGGCGGCGGTACCGCAGGCGGTAGAGCTGCTGGCGGGAGTTGACGTCGGACCGCCAGGCTACTTGCAGCCGCGGGCCCGAGGGGGAGGCAGCCAGTACTGCGGGGGGGGAGGGGGGGGCAGTGTAGGGCGCGGGGACTCACCGTGACGTAGGGCATGTTGTCTAGGGGCTCGGCGGGGGTGGCGGCGGTACCGCAGGCGGTAGAGCTGCTGGCGGGAGTTGACGTCGGACCGCCAGGCTACTTGCAGCCGCGGGCCCGAGGGGGAGGCACCCAGTACTGCGGGGGGGGGGGGGGGGGGGGCAGTGTAGGGCGCGGGGACTCACCGTGACGTAGGGCATGTTGTCTAGGGGCTCGGCGGGGTGGCGGCGGTACCGCAGGCGGTAGAGCTGCTGGCGGGAGTTGACGTCGGACCGCCAGGCTACTTGCAGCCGCGGGCCCGAGGGGGAGGCACCCAGTACTGGGGGGGGGGGGGGGGGCAGTGTAGGGCGCGGGGACTCACCGTGACGTAGGGCATGTTGTCTAGGGGCTCGGCGGGGTGGCGGCGGTACCGCAGGCGGTAGAGCTGCTGGCGGGAGTTGACGTCGGACCGCCAGGCTACTTGCAGCCGCGGGCCCGAGGGGGAGGCAGCCAGTACTGCGGGGGGGAGGGGGGGGCAGTGTAGGGCGCGGGGACTCACCGTGACGTAGGGCATGTTGTCTAGGGGCTCGGCGGGGTGGCGGCGGTACCGCAGGCGGTAGAGCTGCTGGCGGGAGTTGACGTCGGACCGCCAGGCTACTTGCAGCCGCGGGCCCGAGGGGGAGGCAGCCAGTACCACGGGTGCGAGGGGCCGCGTGCTCACGCTCACGCCGCTTTCGTTGGATTCAACGCCGCGGGATACGCTCGCAACCTGCATACAATCGATAATGTCACCAATTTTTTTTGTCATGTCTGGGAAATACATAACTGTAACCCTTGCACACCAGTGCAGTGCGCAAATGATCGTGGCACCTGATATTGTAAACAGAACGAAGCTTAAAAATATTTGCCAATTGGGGTTTTAGCCAAATAACTTCGTTTAAAATATATATACAGGGCGTCCCACGACTACCTCACACGGAGAGAAAGTATATTAAATATTGAAGATATTATAGATATTAGGATATTTTACTGAAAGGAGACATCGTTTTATTTTTAATAATAACTAGAACTGCATTCACTTATTTTTTTAAAATCGCCTGCTACAACTGGGAATCAAACTTGTGAAATTTCGCCAAAATAAACACAACATATTTTATGATAACCATCGAAAGTGTTAATCATAAGGATTATTTTTTGCTAAATAACATAGCATTTTAAATGAAAGAAAAGTAATTTCATATTTTATTTTAAATTATTTAACACAAACTATGTATTATACAATCGGTATATGTATATATATATATATATAATCTGTTGGAGTTCACGTAACGTTTGGGTGAGATCAACTCCATTATTGAAACAAGTGATATGGAGTCTGTCTTTATCTTGAGTGATTTCAACGCACATCCTGGTGAGCTTTTTTCAAAAGAACTTTTAAATTCCGCGTCTGTAAAACGTCTGTTTTCTGCTATTTCATATGATGAAACATTATCGAAAAAGTGTGAGTCCTTAACAAGCATACCGCCTGAGATAATTTCCTTATTTAAGTTTTGGTATCGGTACCAAATGAACAGTGATAAATGGGCAGTCGTATGCTCTGAAGTTTGGAATGTGGAGTAAGACAGGGGAGATCGATCGATGGAGATCAATGAAAGATATGGAATTGTAATTATGAAACAAATTATTAAAAAAGAATAACACTGATGATAACTAAAGTATCGTAGTACCCTTAGCACGAACTAATATCAAATTTAATCTCGATACACATCAACTGTGAAAAGCTATTGTATGAAAATTTAAACAGTGCCAACGGATATGACGATAATTACAAATCTTCGATACAAAACATTTTGACATCTTACACGTATCGAGCTCGAATTGAACTATTCAAATTCGATATTGGTTCGCGCTAAGGGTTCAGAGTGTAGTGTAGTGTGTAGTGAACTTACAGTGACAGTGTAGTGTGTAGTGAACTCACAGTGACAGTGTAGTGTAGTATGAAGTGAACTCACAGTGACAGTGTAGTGTAGTGTGTAAATAACTCACAGTGACAGTGTAGTGTAGTGTGCAGTGAACTCACAGTGACAGTGTAGTGTAGTATGTAGTGAACTCACAGTGACAGTGTAGTGTAGTATGTAGTGAACTCACAGTGACAGTGTAGTGTAGTGTGTAAATAACTCACAGTGACAGTGTAGTGTAGTGTGCAGTGAACTCACAGTGACAGTGTAGTGTAGTATGTAGTGAACTCACAGTGACAGTGTAGTGTAGTGTGTAAATAACTCACAGTGACAGTGTAGTGTAGTGTGCAGTGAACTCACAGTGACAGTGTAGTGTAGTATGTAGTGAACTCACAGTGACAGTGTAGTGTAGTATGTAGTGAACTCACAGTGACAGTGTAGTGTAGTATGTAGTGAACTCACAGTGACAGTGTAGTGTAGTGTGTAAATAACTCACAGTGACAGTGTAGTGTAGTGTGCAGTGAACTCACAGTGACAGTGTAGTGTAGTATGTAGTGAACTCACAGTGACAGTGTAGTGTAGTGTGTAAATAACTCACAGTGACAGTGTAGTGTAGTGTGCAGTGAACTCACAGTGACAGTGTAGTGTAGTATGTAGTGAACTCACAGTGACAGTGTAGTGTAGTATGTAGTGAACTCACAGTGACAGTGTAGTGTAGTGTGTAAATAACTCACAGTGACAGTGTAGTGTAGTGTGCAGTGAACTCACAGTGACAGTGTAGTGTGTAAATAACTCATAGTGACAGTGTAGTGTAGTGTGCAGTGAACTCACAGTGACAGTGTAGTGTGTAAATAACTCATAGTGACAGTGTAGTGTAGTGTGCAGTGAACTCACAGTGACAGTGTAGTTGCGGCCGGGCAGCAGCGTCTCCAGGGTGATGTTGGTGTTGGCGCTGGTCAGCGTGTTGCTGTCGTCGCGGGACGGGCCCGCCTCGTGGTACGATATCTGCGGGATTAATTACAATAGATTTTCAGTATTTGTTGTTTAAATACAGCATACAAAATATATATACAAATACATATTATAGGACATCATATATCAAAATTTCAGACTCCTAACTAGTTTCGATTTTGAGGTAGACCCAAATGACAACTTTTCTTTGTTATCGAAAATAAAATAATAAAAATTATAATAAAATCCCACTCAACGACTTCTTGGCGACGATGTGTCACATGCTGTGGGTAAAAATGAAAAATCATACGAGAAACATTATTTATTCCTCATAAAAAATATTTCGATAGAATTTTTAATTAAATATTCAGCTTCAGAGCGTTCTATATAAAATATCTAAAATAACAATTCTCAATTTGTTTACGTTCTAGAGACCAGCGGCAGACAGACGACAGAGTGACACCGGTAGGGTTTCACTTTGACCCTTTGGATACGGAGCCCTAAAATCTGTTGAATAAAGCTACAGTGACCTTGTACTCTGAGGAGCTCGATGGCGCACGTGGTTAGCGCGTTCGGCTGCGATCGTTGAAGTTAAGCAACTTTCGCAGTGGTCGGCCATTGGATGGGTGACCAAAAATTTATTATCTCGAGCTCCTGCGTGCTTCGCACTGGGCCCGCGTGGTGGGTCATGGCCCGCACTCCCTATTCCATCCATAGGTTCAGGCCTGTGCCCCAGCAGTGGGGACATCAATAGGCTGATGATGATGACCTTGTACTCGTCCTGCGTGCTGCCGCTGGGCGCGGCCCACGTCACCAGGATACCCTCCGAGCCCTCCACGCGCCTCCACACCAGATCGCGCACCGGAAGCGGCTCTGCGGAAATAATAATAATCATTTATTTGCCAAAATAAGGTGACAATAGTTGTAAAGTATTTCTTTAGTTTCCAGCATATTTTGTAGAATGTCAACAACGTGCAAATATTACAGTTTATAGAAGAAAATTACATTAATAAGGTCCAATGACGTCAAAATAATTTAAAGATAATAATAATACGCAATTACACACAAAAACTGACTAATCATCTCATTTCATCGTTCAATTGGTACAGCTTCATTTAAACTCATCAACGGTGTCGATTCTGGCATGATTATCTGAACCTATAATTAAATTTTACAACCGTTTATCCTTCTCATTTTCCATACAGAACGAACGGGATGCTAATGTCAAATTGAGTTTTAAAGTTCTCCAAGCATCGTACCAAATTGACACCGATGTCTTTATTGAAATGAGATCGTATGCATAAGATTTTCAATTTAAATTAAAACGAGTTTTTGTGAAGTCTGTTGCGAAAAATCAGTGTTTCTTCAGGAAATAAGGTTATCTACCGGCGCCGGTAGAGAGGGGGGGGGGCAGGGGGAGGGGGAGGGGGGGGGAGGCAGCATATACTGACTGAGCGTGAGGTCGGCGCTGGCGGGCCAGGAGGTGACCTTCCCGGACATGGTCTTGACGGTGGCGGTGTAGTGCGCGCCCGGCTCCAGCCCCTCGAACGTGGCCACGGGGGCCGAGTCCCGCGGCCTCACCAGCGGCGCCGGCGCCGGTAGAGGGGGGGGGGGGCAGCATATACTGACTGAGCGTGAGGTCGGCGCTGGCGGGCCAGGAGGTGACCTTCCCGGACATGGTCTTGACGGTGGCGGTGTAGTGCGCGCCCGGCTCCAGCCCCTCGAACGTGGCCACGGGGGCCGAGTCCCGCGGCCTCACCAGCGGCGCCGGCGCCGGTAGAGAGGGGGGGGGGGGGGCAGCATATACTGACTGAGCGTGAGGTCGGCGCTGGCGGGCCAGGAGGTGACCTTCCCGGACATGGTCTTGACGGTGGCGGTGTAGTGCGCGCCCGGCTCCAGCCCCTCGAACGTGGCCACGGGGGCCGAGTCCCGCGGCCTCACCAGCGGCGCCGGCGCCGGTAGAGAGGGGGGGGGGGGCAGCATATACTGACTGAGCGTGAGGTCGGCGCTGGCGGGCCAGGAGGTGACCTTCCCGGACATGGTCTTGACGGTGGCGGTGTAGTGCGCGCCCGGCTCCAGCCCCTCGAACGTGGCCACGGGGGCCGAGTCCCGCGGCCTCACCAGCGGCGCCGGCGCCGGTAGAGAGGGGGGGGGGGGGCAGCATATACTGACTGAGCGTGAGGTCGGCGCTGGCGGGCCAGGAGGTGACCTTCCCGGACATGGTCTTGACGGTGGCGGTGTAGTGCGCGCCCGGCTCCAGCCCCTCGAACGTGGCCACGGGGGCCGAGTCCCGCGGCCTCACCAGCGGCGCCGGCGCCGGTAGAGAGGGGGGGGGGGGGCAGCATATACTGACTGAGCGTGAGGTCGGCGCTGGCGGGCCAGGAGGTGACCTTCCCGGACATGGTCTTGACGGTGGCGGTGTAGTGCGCGCCCGGCTCCAGCCCCTCGAACGTGGCCACGGGGGCCGAGTCCCGCGGCCTCACCAGCGGCGCCGGCGCCGGTAGAGAGGGGGGGGGGGGGCAGCATATACTGACTGAGCGTGAGGTCGGCGCTGGCGGGCCAGGAGGTGACCTTCCCGGACATGGTCTTGACGGTGGCGGTGTAGTGCGCGCCCGGCTCCAGCCCCTCGAACGTGGCCACGGGGGCCGAGTCCCGCGGCCTCACCAGCGGCGCCGGCGCCGGTAGAGAGGGGGGGGGGGCAGCATATACTGACTGAGCGTGAGGTCGGCGCTGGCGGGCCAGGAGGTGACCTTCCCGGACATGGTCTTGACGGTGGCGGTGTAGTGCGCGCCCGGCTCCAGCCCCTCGAACGTGGCCACGGGGGCCGAGTCCCGCGGCCTCACCAGCGGCGCCGGCGCCGGTAGAGAGGGGGGGGGGGGGCAGCATATACTGACTGAGCGTGAGGTCGGCGCTGGCGGGCCAGGAGGTGACCTTCCCGGACATGGTCTTGACGGTGGCGGTGTAGTGCGCGCCCGGCTCCAGCCCCTCGAACGTGGCCACGGGGGCCGAGTCCCGCGGCCTCACCAGCGGCGCCAGGCGCCGGGCCCCGCTGCCGCTACCGCCCCCGCCGCCCGTCACCGACACCTGGTACTTCTCGAACTCGCTACGGGAGAACACACTACGATTAGCATTGCTACGAAAACTGTTAGAATATCTCGCGAATGGACGGTAGGATAGGAGAAAATACTGGACGATTCGAAAGAGTCCTAAACAAGGTGCGGCGTTTTTTCACGCCCGATCAACTGTGCTCGTTGTACAAAACGCAAGTGCGGTCCTGCGTGGAATATTGCTCGCACCTCTGGGATGGCTCCGCCAAGTACTCGCTCGATGCTTTGGATAGGTTACAGCGGCGCGCGATCCGCATCATAGGCGATGAGGAGGTGACTAAACACCTTGAGCCTCTTCAATTACGCCATGACGTGGCGTCACTAAGCGCGTTCCATCATCTGTACCACGGCGAGTGTTCCGAGGAGTCATTCTCTCTTATCCCACCTTCTCCTTTCCTTCAGAGGAGCACGCGCGCTGGCCTACGTTATCACCGTCTAACTGTGGCCACAATTCCAACGCGTACAAAGAAATTTGGTGATAAATTTCTTTGTCGCACTATCCGTAAATGGAATGCTCTGCCCGCTCGCGTGTTCCCTCCCTCTCACAACCTGGGATCCTTTATAAGAGGCGCGAAGAAGCAACATGCAGGCCGGCAGGGTGAGGATGGCTGGTGTGACAGGTAAAACTGCTGTATGATCTTCACGTCTGGACTTCACCTTCACTCAACATCAGGTGGGGTGCAGACATTTGTCGGACCTATCTATAAAAAAGGGCTTTCAATGAGACAATTTGAATAAAGTATGCTTTCGTTTCGTTTCCCCGACTTTGTCCAGGCTCGCGGGAGGACAGCAGACACATACCTCTCCTCCTGCGGCGGCAGCCAGGTGACGGTGAAGGCCGTCTCGGTGCGGTGCGCGGCGGTGACGTTGCGGGGCCGCAGCGGCACGGTGCGGTACTGCGCGGTGGTGGGCGCGGAGATCTCGGGCTCGGAGACGGTCTGCACGGAGATGTTGTAGGCGCGGCCCGGGACCAGCCCCTTGAAGGCGGCCTGCGCGGGCCCGGGCGGCTCGCCCTCCTTCTCCACGTACTGCTCCGAGTCGCGCGCGTCCGGCGGCACTATCGACACCTGCCACACCGCACCGCACCACCGGCCGATACCGGCGTTAGGGGCTGTTCGACTATTATGTGAGCAATATAGGGGGGCAGGGGGGGGGGGGGGGGGGGGGGGTAGAGATGGTGATTACGTCAGCATCATCGATTAAGCCTTTTTAAGTACTGCTGGTCATGAAGCTCATGAATCAATAAAAAAAACAGAATACATTAAAGGTAAAATGCATATAGGTACCAATGTTTACGTAAGGATGGGGGGGAGGGGTAAGAGCTTTGCTTACTTTTGCTGACAAGGGGGAGGAGGGAGGATACTTGAACGGCCCCTTACGCATCTCGTTCATACGCATTAAGTCTTACAGCAGTACCTACTCAAACTCGATCGATCGACTTTACAGTTTGCTTATAGTAATTTACCAGTTTCTTTGCTATAACGATAGAAAAGTTAACACGATTTATAAATTTGGATTCAAACATTTGTATTTTCAAAGACATATATACATATAGTTATATTTTACACGGAAGTATAAATAGTAAAGAATATATAACTAGAAAAAATTCCACGCGGACCAGGCAGTCGACGGGACTCGAACCCGCACCTTTCGCAATCCGAGCGAATGCACTGACCAATTATGCTATCGCGGGCCTCACGGACCGCGTCGAAATTCTTCTAACCATTCTTAAGCTGCAAGGCAGCGCCATCTCTTCGCATTATAGGTAATGTGAGAACCGCGGTAGCATAAGGCTCAACTCACACCAAAAGAGCGTCGAAGCGCAGCGAAGCGGAGCGCAGTTTCAGTGTCATATGAATTTTAACTTTATTTTCATTACTATAATACTTATTATCGCATGAGAAACTCGAACGACTCGCGCGGATTCGCGGGAATTCCGACGAATTCCATAAGCGCGCCTTCTCTACCAAGCGGGTCACGCGCTTCGCTGCCCTTCGCCGCTCTTTCGGTGTGAGTTGACCCTAATTGGTCAGTGCATTCGCCCGGATTGCGAAGGGTGCGGGTTCGAGTCCCGTCTGCTGCCTGGTCCACGTGGAATTTTTTTATAGTTATATTTTCTTTAGATTTAAACATTTAGCAGTTACATGCTTTAAAATAATAAAAATTATAACTATATAAGACTTTTATGGAAGAAATTATAATAAAATGTTGTATCTTTGAGTATGGCTGTTGACGGGTAATACCTTCTCGTTCGCTAAAAATTAAAAGGTAGTCATTGAACCTTCTTGATATATTATGCATATGCAAGCAATTTTGTATGTAAGCCTGCTAAGACATAGTAAGCAACACAAGTTTAACAAAGCTACAAATACAACACGCGTACACTGTACAGAATAAAGTACATATATCTTCGTTTTCACCTTTACCACCTAAACCATGGCTGCTTTTAAAATTCAAATATAACATTTTTTTTAATGTTGAATCAAAGTTTTATGAGTAGTGACACGACCATAACCTTTATATGCTCTTAACACAAAATTCACCAGATTCCCTATTGATGTAAAAAAAACTTATTATATTGTCAGTTCAATAATGTTACTTCATTAATAATACAGATCGTGCTTGCGTGAAATATTCTTGGTGTTACATGCTTAGATTAAAACAAAAAGGGTAGATACGGCACTAGCCTCACAAAAGTGATCCGCAAGAATTGTGGTCCACGACCCTAATCGCTTTAGTCACAACTTGACATGCAAACGACGTACATGTGAACGCCACAAAGAAATATTACTAATATTTTGTTTTTATATGATAAAACAATGCCTAAGTGTGTTTTTAAAAAGTGCTCAAATTGCTCAAGAACTAAAAATAAAACCCACGGCATCACTTTTCATTCGTAAGTACTATAAAATATATTTTTTCATAAAAATTGCTGTTTGTTTTGAATCTTATTCGGTAGTGACGTCGAGTACTGGTCGCGTGATTGGTCGGTAGTGCAGTGACGCGGATCTCGCCGTCCCGTTCGCGCTGCCGTGGGATCAGTTTTTGTTTGATGCAAGTATGAGCGTACCGTATCTACCCTTTTTGTTTTAATCTAAGGTTACATGCGTCTATAGATCAAAATGACTGCATATTATAATTTCTTTATTTTTAAATTTATCTATGAATACAAGTCCTTCAGTCGTAAAATGAATAAAAACAATGAAGATTTATAAAGAAAGAATTTGAAATAACAATTACCTATAACTTTATGATTTGTTTATATAACAGTATAGCCCATAAAGCGGCAGTGTTGAAACTCGCTACTACGTTATTATTAATGAACCATGGTACCAGAAAGGTATACAAGTAAAATATTATAATATATGCGTGTAGGGCGGCCACGTGATGGTCCGATCAAACTTAATGTCGGCTGTGAAGTTAGCGCAAGTCGCGGTGCACTAAATGAAATGTAGGGTAATGAACAGTGCGAAAAGGAACTTTGTGACAGTTCAGGGAGGGCGCCACTGCCTACGTGAACGACCAGAAATGATATACTAAATATGACGTTTAAAAACACGGCGTTGTTAGTTCCAATGTTCACAAAACATCTGCCCCCACCGGGATTCGAACCGACTCGAGAGGGCCCGGGTTCGAATCCCAGTGGGGGCAGATGTTTTGTGTGATGAATACGAGCATTTGTACTCCAGTCATGGATGTTTAATATGTATTTCTATATAAATATACTTATATATGTACTGTATATGTATTCTATCCGTTACCCTTGTATCCCATAACACAAGCCTTATAGCGCTTACTTTGGGGCTAGGCTAATTGGTGTGAGTGTCGGAAATATTTATTTATTCCAATGTTCGCCGCATTCATGAAGATCCTTATCGCACTATACATAGGTGAGTGTGGACTGCTGCGTATAGTTTTGCTCGCTGCTAACTTCACGACCGTTATTGTGTTGGAATCCCAGTGGGTACCTTGTAGTGGGTGTAGGCGCCGGGCGGGTAGGGCGGCTGCCACAGCACCAGCAGCGTGGTCTCGTTGCGGAACCACACGATGAACTTGCCCGGCGTGTTGGGCCCTGCGCACCACAACCACAAACGCTCACGATCACAATCACAATACGATCAGAACTGACATGCTACACAACACTACCGCTCACGCTGCTTCATAGGTCAACTCGAAAAACTACTGAATCGGTTTTTGGCGGGATTTCATCGAGTTCGGTTGGCGTCTCATTTTAATTATTCTTAAATTCGTTCATAGTGGATATTGTGAAATAAAATTGGTGTGGTTTTGTGTAACAACTGTCTGCGTAACTGAAGAATTAGTGGAATCATTAAAATATACGGTATTCCGGTCAAGTGGACGTGAGAATTTTATTGTAGTGTTGACTACCTCACAGAAGCTTATCGAAAAAGCCAACTCGATACATTTCGTGACAAACACTCCAAGAAACATTAGAATGTGTCACACCGACATTCTAATGTAAACACAAAAAGAAGATTAATTTAATTAAAGACCAGGCTGTATGGGCATTGTTCCCTTTGCCTTCCCTAAAACGGGAGAACTTAAACAAAAAAAAACTACTGAATCTACAAAGGAGCGCTGAGAACAACCAGCAAGCTTTGCCTTTTCCGTTTAATGAACGGAAAGAACAGAACCAAAAAAAAAAACAACTAGCAAGATCCGCGCGGGATGGTCAGTTTTATTAAAATTGATTTTATAAGGCATCCTTAACAATATTAACTTCCGCAGGAAAGAAATGGATACATGTTGCGGAGCGCATATTAATATAAGAAAAACTATTTCTATACTACTTCTAAATAAAAAAGTAATCATTTGATTAAGTTTATTTTAACATTTTTTCTAATTTCATAAAAGAGAAGAGTTTCCGCACATCATATCATTTATAGCAATTTTAAGTGTACACGGACCCCAAATGCGAGACGCTCGCTGATATCAGAGTAATAACAGTTCAATGGCTGGTTTGTGAATTATTAATCCCTACTTATGTCATAAATGTGAAAGTATGTCTGTCTGTCCTTTATGCTTTTACGCGCACACCGTTAAACAGATTACGATAAATTTTGATAAAGAAATCAAGAGAGCCTTAGTGAATTACATAGACTACTGCGACTTTTCAAATCAATATATCTCTGCAATGGTTATATTATGTGAAAAAAGAAAAAATACGTGTCCAATACTTTTTGATAATCTACCTGATAAACGAAGAAATAAAAAAAAAATAGTCATCATCCCTATTCTGCAGGCAAACAAAGGACAAATAGGTCGCAATCTGACAGTATTTTGTAAATAGAAATATATCAATGAAATCATCTGAACACTATTCAGCTGCGCGTGAGCGGTGAGTAAAACGTAACGATGACGTGACGTCATCAGCAAAACATTTAAACATTGACAAATATGACAGAGCACAAAGAAGAGCAAAAGCAGACGTGACTACACTGTGTCATAATATAAACCATGATGCACAACACTGTGATGTGATGGATTGATGTGTTACATCAACTTTAAGCAAGTAGTTATATGTATTTTATGTACTACTAGTGGCCCGCCCTCGCTTCGCTTCGGTGTAGAGCTGTAGTGTAAACTATAGTTTATGTTCTCAGGCTTGTGCTATAAAGAATGACTTTATTTATATAATTACACGTGTTATTGTGAGTCAACCATAAAAGATAGACATATGCTGTTGCGGGATATTTTTTAGACAATTTTATGTAGAATATTTCCGTCATACATGATTTCTATGTAACTTTAACCATTAAGGTTGCACACGCGACGGAAGCTTAAAAAATGGAGTAAATTCTCCCGTTTTCCCAACATTTCCCTTCACTACTCTGCTCCTTTTGATTGTAGCGTGATGAAAAGTATACTATAATCTGCCTAGGAGTATGAAGAATAATTGTACCAAGTTTCGTGAAAATCCGTTGAGTAGTTTTTGTTTCTATAAGGAGCACACACAGACAGACAAAAATTTTACTGATTGCATTTTTGGCATCAGTATCGATCACTAATCACCCCCTGATAGTTATTTTAAAAATATATTTCATGTACAGAATTGACATCTCTACAGATTTATTATAAGTATAGATATATATGTATATATGATATGTTGTCACTTTGTGCAACCAAAACTATCAAACTATCAACTCTTTGTCAATAGTTTCAAAAATTAAATAAAACTAGTTTTTACGGGTTAATGCACGAAAGTTTATTTATTAATTGACGTTTCGTAGCCTTTACAGGCTACGTCGTCGTCGTCGTAAAATCTAGTTTTATTTAATGCGTGATGTGCGTGAAAACCTAAGAAACACATAGTTTCAAAAGTCAAAATTTTAAAAAAACATTGTTGACGTCAAGAAAAGTTTCAAAAAGTTTATGTGGACATGTGAACCAAAGTTTCAAATGCGACGTTGCCAGCTCAGGTAAAGAGTAATTCATATTAGATAAATTACATCTAAGCATTTAGTTTGTATGAAAATAAAAAATGTTAAAGTAATTGGAATTCATAAAAGTGTCCATAGTAAAAAATGATCAATTTAATAGCCTGAATAACATGCCAAAGTTAGTGTATAACCTCAGGAATACGGTGTATATTATCTTGTTTCTATAGATATACTTTAATTATCTCTTATCTATTAGACAAGTCCGTCCGTCCGTCTGTCTGTGGTGCTGTTTCAGCGGCCAAACCGTAAGAGATAGATAAAGAGAATATTTAAGTTATAAGTTAAGAATAGTCTGATAAAACTACATACCGGATTTGAGTAACGTAGCACTTCCGGTTTTTGAGAAATCACGAATTTCAAACGAAACCACACAAAATCTCCGAAGTTCTCAATTAATTAAATACATTTTTTTTTAAATCAGGTTTTGGTGAACATTTGGTTCACTGGTTTGCTAGTAATAAATAATTTGATGAATTCTTTTTGCACTACCTTCCTAAGATCTTTGCTATAATTCTCCGGTTGACTGGTAGAGAATGCCTAATTATTTAATTAAGTCCGCCACTTGTTCACTAATTTGGGCAATAAAGTATAAATAAATAAATATTCTTACATTGAAGGTAACCGAACATACAAGAAACACGCCTTCAAATAGGTTGTATTGCATAAAATTCAGAGGAATCTTATCTAAAAATGTAAGTTTTATGTCACATATGAATGTATTACAAAATTTTAGTCACGGACTCGGCGGTTATTACGATTTAACAATGATCGCGCATTTATTACATTGCAAAAAGAGTTATATCCATTGTGTCATGACATGGACTGCGCATTTTATTAATTGGAAAAGTTGGAGTCACTAGGAATACGAGGAAAAGCACAAAAGTGGCTTTCTTCTTATTTAGAATATAGAAAGCAATACGTTCAAATAACACACGCAGATGAAAAAACTCGAGAAATATGGCGATATATCTAAATCTAGCGATGGCCTCCGTGGCCGAGTGGTTTATACGCCGGGTTTCATGGTGTCGCCGACTCGAGAGGTCCCGGGTTCGAATCCCGGTCGGGGCAGATGTTTGTGTGATGAATACGAGCATTTGTACTCCAGTCATGGATGTTTTATATGTATTTCTATATAAATACTAGCTGACCCAGCGAACTTCGTATCGCCATAAAAATATGGGTGGTAGAAGGGTGAAAATTTAGAGCTGTATACTGTATTTTGGAGGAGCTCGATGGCGCAAGTGGTTAGCGCGTTCGGCTGCGGTCGTTGAAGTTAAGCAACTTTCGCAGTGGTCGGTCATTGGATGGGTGACCAAAAATTTACTATCTCGAGCTCCTCCGTGCTTCAGAAGGCACGTTAAGCCGTTGGTCCCGGCTGCATCTGCAGTCGTTAGCACCCACCAATCCGCACTGAGCCAGCGTGGTGGGTCATGGCCCAATCTCCCTATTCCATCCATAGGGAAGGCCTGTGCCCCAGCAGTGGGGACATAAATAGGCTGATGATGATGATGACTGTATTTTAAATGCCACATTATAAAAAAAAATAAACCAAATTCTAAAAAAATGTTAGGGGTGGACGACCCTTATTACTTAGAGGTATGAAAAATAGATAGTAGCCGATTCTCAGACCTAGTGAATATGCATATAAAGTTTCATAAAAATCGGTCAGGCCGTTTCGGAGGAGTATGGTAACTAATATAGGAAGACAGGAGACCGGCTACCTTCTCATCCCTACTCCGTGATGTTTGCGGGATGGGAGGTGACCCAGGTAGACATCTAGCAGGGATAACTGATCGATTGATCGGTTATCGACCGGTGAAGGCGGAAGATCAATATCATAAAAAAATAAAAAAAAAGTATCTAAAATTGAAAAAAAAAATTTAGGGGTGGGCTTAACATTTAGGGGGATGAAAAATAGATGTTGTCCGATTCTCAGACCAACCCAATATGCACACAAAATTTCATGAGAATCGGGAAAGCCGTTTCGGAGGAGTTTAACCACAAACACCGCGACACGAGAATTTTATATATTAGATACTAATATATGTAAAATATATGTATTCTATCCGTTACCCTAGTATCCCATAACACGAGCCTTACAGTGCTTACTTTGGGGCTAGGCTAATTGGTGTGAGTGTTGGAAATATTTATTTATTTATCCTATGTCGCGCAACTTTGACAAACAAAGATGACGGATTGACATTAATAAAAATTTAAAATTTTTGAAATGGTGGTGTACACTACACACCACTATGATGTTCTGCGTTCCTATCCGTGCGAGACATAAATAATAATCTACTTATAATAATCTTTCAACGTAAAATTGTTATATTAAGGCTTATTTTGCAGTCGTGCCTTCGATAAAATAAATAGTTGCTTTTACTTATACAATGAAAACAAATTATATCATTAAGTAATCTTATGTATTAGAACAGGTATAATTCAGAAGAACATTAGAGCTCCATAATAGATAAGTATCCAACTTCAATAATGTTTTATTATGATTTCAATACAAGAAACAACAGCATATTATTATAAATACAACACTCATTGTGTTGCATTTACATTGTAGAATTTAACTATTTGTTAAGTGTGAAGTAGCGTCACCATT